CCTCCCTCCCCAGTCTGGCCTTGCTCAGTGCGTCCGGGGCCCCCAGAGCCCTGGAGCCAAGGGCAGGTGTGTCCTAGGAGGGCTCTCCTCCCCCCTCTCCTGCGTGGAGGACGGGCCCTGAGTCTGTTCTCTGGACGCCCCTCCCATGGGCAGATGGCCTGCAGAGTGTCAGACTCGCTCTGCTGGGCCCTGCGACCAGGCCGGGCGGGAGGTGGAGGCCGTGTGCAGGGTGAGTGAGCATCCCCCGGGCCTAGAACTGGGGTAGAAGCCACTTGTGGGCACCTGCTGTGACCCACCCCTTGACTCTGGGCCCTTCCCTGAGTGGGGAGCGCCCTGGTCTCCAGGAAGATTTCTTAGGCTTTTCACAGCACAGAAGCGAAGGCCAAAGCTGGCCTGCCCCCCCAGCTGGTGCCACGCGCCCCTGTGGCGCAGCCTGGCACAGCCCCACCCACTTGCCATGGCCCATCTGTGGGCAAGGCTGTGGGAGCTCATGACCCTCAGCCACACAGGCTGGGAAGGGCCCTGGGAAGTAATCTTGTTGCTCAGGGAGGTTTTTGAAAAAAAAATTTTTTTTTTAATAAACATATATTTTTATCCCCAGGGGTACAGGTCTGTGAATCGCCAGGTTTACACACTTCACAGCACTCACCATAGCACATACCCTCCCCAATGTCCATAACCCCACCACCCCCCCAACCCCCCTCCCCCCAGCAACCCTCAGTTTGTTTTGTGAGATTAAGAGTCACTTATGGTTTGTCTCCCTCCCAATCCCATCTTGTTTCATTTACTCTTCTCCTACCCCTTAACCCCCCATGTTGCATCTCCACTTCCTCATATCAGGGAGATCATATGATAGTTGTCTTTCTCTGATTGACTTATTTCACTAAGCATGATACCCTCTAGTTCCATCCACGTTGTCGCAAATGGCAAGATTTCATTTCTTTTGATGGCTGCATAGTATTCCATCGTGTATATATACCACATCTTCTTTATCCATTCATCTGTGGGTGGACATGTAGGTTCTTTCCATAGTGTGGCTATTGTGGACATTGCTGATGTAAACATTAGGGTGCACGTGCCCCTTCGGATCACTACGTTTGTATCTTTAGAGTAAATATCAGGGAGGTTTTTTATTTTTTTTGTTTTGAAGAGGCAAGTTTTCTTCCTGAGCCGAAAGGGTTTGGTGTAAACCCGGCGTCAGAAGCCAAGGCTTCGTGCCTTGTTAAGAAATTGGTATCTCTGCCAGGGAGAGCAGCTGCAGTCCGCGGAGACTCTGTCCTGCTGTGGAGACCCCTCCTCGCGCCCGGATTAGCCCTTGCAGGTCAAGGGGCTGGCACCGCCCCCAGACATGGACCCACATCAGGCTGGAGGAGCCAGGAGCACCCCCCAGCTGCCCTCCAGCTGCTCTAGACGCGTCCACACACACACACACACACACGCACGCACCCATGCATGTACACACACGCACACACACACGTGCCACAGGCCTAGACAGCCACTTGGGGAGGACCACGTCCCTGTCCTCACCTGGCATGTGTGGGGTGCATGGCCATCCCTTGGGACAAGGGCATGAGGGTCTGAAGCACAGCTCTGATCTGGGACAGGACCCCCAGGTGGGGCGGGGCACTCTCCCCAGTGTCACGCGCCCCGCAGCCACCCAGCCCAGGAGGAACTCGCTCTCCCAGGCTTGGGTGTTGCCAGCACTTTGGGACAGGTTCCCAGCAGAGGGGGCCCTGCCCTTTCTCCCACCTAGTTTGCCTTTGGACATCCCCCTGCCCCATGTCCCCAGTGATCTCCCTGGGGCACAGCTCCCTGCTACAGCCACATGGGAGGCTGCCAAGCCTCCCCGCTGAGGCCCCACAGTGCTGGCACGCGCTGCTGCAGGACCAGGCACGTGGGGCTCAGCGGTCTGGGTTGGCAGCGGACAGGTGAGTGGAGAGGACCCGCCCCTCCGGGGACAGCCTGGCTCCCCACGACCCACGTGTGGCCTGGGTTTGGCAGGGATGTGCCCAGTGCGTGGGTCTCCAGTGCTGCTGGATTGCTTTTTTGTGGTCAGACGCCTGCCCGGAGGCCCCCAGAAAGACCTGACAGGCAGCTGGTTAGGGGATCCACCCGGCTGCCCTGAGTTAGGGCGCCCCCCCAGTTTGTGCCCTGGCCTCCCCTCCAGCCCTCACTTTGGTTTTGTTTTTGGTTTTTTTTGAGCTGAAATCCATGTGACATGAAGTAACCGTTTCAGAGGGCATGAGGCACATTCAGTGTGTGTCCATCCCTCTCCCCGTCCCCACACGTCTGCATCGCCCGTGTTCCTTACAGAACTTCCAGGCCTGGGGCCCCCTGGGCTTCGCACCGCCTCAGACCTGCTGCCGTAAGGATTCTGTGTACATGGACTCCCGGAACGTGCGGTCTTTTGTGTCTGGCTTCTCTCACTGAACGTGTATCAGAATCCCGTTATGTGGCTGAATAACATTCCACATCTCCTTTATGTGTTTGTTTGCCGACGGATGTCTGAGTTGTCGTGCGTGGACCTGCTCTGAGTGTGTGTGTACACACGAGGGCACCAGTTCCCGGTCCGTCGGGGTGTGTGCCCAGGAGTGGAACTGCAGGGTTGGGTGGTGACTGTTTATCGGGAGAGGCCGCCAGGCCGCTGGTGCAGAGGCGGGGCAGGGGGAGCTCTTGTGGTCCCTGCCGTCCCCTGACGTCCCCTGCCGTCCCCTGCGACGTGGTTGCTCCCCAGCCGCAGCAGCTGTGAAGTGGGGTCCCCCACATCGGGTTTGCGTTGTCCTTGTGGCCGGCGATGCTGAGCATGCTTCCGTCTGCCCACGTGCTTCCACGGCCACTTGTGTGTCCTCTGGAGACATGACTGCTCCGGCCCTTCGCCCGTTTTTCTGAAAAGCGTTCTTGTTGCTCAGTTGCGAGGGTTCTTTATGTTTTCTGGAGCCAGACCTGGTTCCTAAATATTTTCTCTTACGAGTTCTCGTATTTTTTCCGCTGGGCCCTTTGAAGCACGGAAGTTCCTCGCTTTGATGAAGTCCAGTTTTTTCCTTTATCCGCCTGTCCTTTCGGTGTTACATCCAATTATCCATTGTCAAATTCAAGGTCACAGAAACTTTTTTTTTAAGATTTTACTTATTTTGAGAGAGAGAGAGAGAGAACGTGTGTGAGCTGGGGCTGGGCATAGGCGCAGGAGGAGAGAACCTCCAGCAGGCGCCCCCCTGAGCACAGAGCCCCGCGTCGGCCTCCATCCCAGGACCTGAGCTGAAGGCAGAGGCTTCACCGACGGAGCCACCCAGGCACCCCAGAATTTTTTCTTTTAAGGGTTTCATTTTCAAGTAATTTCCACACCCAGTGCAGGGCTCGAACTCACGACCCCAAGTCAAGAGTCACACACTCCCCCGACTAACCCAGCCAGGCGCCCCTTGGGGTCACAAAGTTTCCTTAGTTTATCTCCTAAGAGGGTTCTGGTTTTCACTTCTACATTTAGGTTATTGATCCCTTCTGAGGTAATTTTTGCGCACAGTGTGAGGTAAGGGCCCAGCTGCATTCTTTACTGCTTGAGGTCCTGAGTTCCCAGCACCGTCTGTGGAGAAGACTGCCCTTTCCCCACAGAGTGGTCTGCCTAAAATGACTGGACCACAGGTGCCTGGCTGCCTCAGTCAGTGGGCGCAAGGATCTTAATCTGGGGGTTGTGAGTTCGAGCCCCATCTTGGGCATGGAACCTCCTTAAAAAAGTAAAAAATAAAATGACTTGACCATATGTGAGGGTGTGTTTCTGGGCTCTCCAGTTCTGTCGTGGCTGCACGGGCCATACGCAGGCTTGCAGTCTGTCCTTGTGCTGGGACCCCTGTCTCCATTTTCCCTCTTTTGAGACTAGTTTGGCTACTGGGGGGTGGGGGGGGCAAGTCCTTGCGATTCGATATGAATTTCAAAATCAGCTTTTCTATTCCTGGGGGGGGGCAGGCCATTGGCTTTTGAGGGGACTGCATTGCACCTGTGAACTTGTAGGCCGCTTGGATGGACTGTCGTCTCGACCCTGTCAAGTCTTCATTCTGTGAACACTGGGTGTTTGGTCATTGAGGTGTTCTGTGATTTCTTTGAGTCATGTTTTGTATCGGTCAGAGTGCGGGTTTTCCCTTTCTTATTTTTTTATTTTTTTTTTTAAGGATTTTATTTATTTACTGGGCAGGCAGAGGGGGGAGGGGGAAGCAGGCTCCCCGCAGAGCAGACAGCCCGATGCGGAACTCGATCCCAGACCCCGAGATCATGACCTGAGCCGAAGGCAGAGGCTTTAACCCACTGAGCCACCCAGGCGCCCCAAGTTTTCTCCTCTTTAAAACGTATCCCTTGGTTATGTTAGACGAAGTGATGCTGTTCTTCTAACTTGCCTTCTCCGGGGTGCTGAGCTCTTGGCTGCTGGCACGGAAAGCCACTGACTGATGGTCACATGTCAGTCTCATGCCGCACGATGTCACCGGATTCATGTATCAGTTCTAGTAGTTTTGGGGAATTCTGTGTGTAGGATCACGCCATGTGCAAACAGAGGTAGTTTTACTTCTTTCTTTCCAGTTGGATGCCTTTCATCTCTTTTTCCCGCCAAGTTGCTCTGGCTGGGTCTCTGGTACAGCGCTGACTGGCAGCGCTGAGCTCCTGGTCTTGGGAAGGAAGCCCACAGAGTGTCCGCGCTGGTGTGACGTTTCCTGTGGGTATTTGAGGGCGCCCTTTACCTGTCGAGGAAGTTCACGTGGGCGCTTTGCTGGGACTGATCAAAGACCGCCTCCCCAGCAGGGCCTCATGGCCACTAGGACCATGTGGTTCCGCCCCATCCCTCTGCCTCCAGGAGGGGTCTAAGGACAGACCTGTGAGGTCCCCTGGGGGCCCCCCAACTCCTCATGTCCTCAAACCGCTCAGAGCCTGCTTCTTGGGCCTGATCCTGGGGCCCCTGGTCCCAGGTGGAGACTTGGGCCCCTTCCTGGGCCTCCGCTGACTGGGACCTTCCCTTGCAGCCACACACACTCGCCCGGGTCCATGGCCACAGTTGGGGAGTGGTCGTGTGCGCGCTGTACCTTCCTGAACCCGGCTGGCCAGCGCCAGTGCTCCATCTGCGAGGCCCCGCGGCACAAGCCTGATCTCGACCACATCCTCAGGCTCAGCGTGGAGGAGCAGAAATGGCCCTGCGCCCGCTGCACATTCCGGAACTTCCTGGGCAAGGAGACTTGTGAGGTGTGTGGCTTTGCCCCAGAGCCTGTGCCTCGTGCCTCCCTGCTGCCTGTCATCAACGGGGTCCTGGCGGAGCCCAGGGGCAGCTGCAAGGAGGAAGCCGGTCCCGGGAGGACAGTGGGGCTGGTGTCTGCAGAGCCGGCCCGGGGGCAGCCCGAAGACGAGGAGGAGGAGGAAAAGAAGGAGGAGCAGGAGGGGGCGGCCGAGCCCGGGAGCGGCTGGACCTGCCAGCGCTGCACCCTGCACAACACGCCTGTGGCCAGCTCCTGCTCCGCCTGCGGGGGCCCCCGGAAACTCTCGCTGCCCAGGATCCCTCCTGAGGCCCTGGTGGTCCCCGAGGTCGTGGCCCCTGCTGGCTTCCACGTTATAGCTGCCCCAGCCCAGCCCGGGGAAGGCGCCGAAGCTGACCCTCCCTCTGCCACCGACCAGGAGCCCCCCCGGGCACCCTCCTTCAGCCCCTTCTCACCTACCCTGCAGAACAACCCAGTGCCTCGTAGCCGCCGTGAGGTACCCCCCCAGCTGCAGCCACTGGTGCCTGAGGCTCCCCAGCCTTCTTCCTCTGCCGGCTCCAAGGGCCTCCCCCAGGGCCCGGGGCGGACTGCGGCCGGAGCCTCCCGCCTGGCGGAGCTGCTGTCCAGCAAGCGGCTGGGCATGCTGGAGGAGGAGGCCCCCGAGGGCAGCCCGGCACGGCCCCGGTGTGGCTCCTGCTCTGCGCCCGGGCATTCCAGCCCGGCCCGCTGCGAGGCCTGTGGTGCCGCGCCCAGCAGCGATGTCATCGACCTGGCGGGGGACGCGGTGCGCTACAAGCCGGCCGGCCCCTCCAGCCCGGACTTCACCACCTGGTCGTGCGCCAAGTGCACGCTCAGGAACCCCACGGCGGCCCCCAGGTGCACAGCCTGTGGCTGCTCCAAGCTGCACGGCTTCCAGGAGCACGGCGAGCCCCCCGGCCGCTGCCCGGACTGCAGCGCTGACAGGTCTGGGCCCTGCTCCGCCCACAGGCCTGGCGGCCCCCTGCCCGCACTGCCCGCCGAGCGCCCGAGCCCGTGGGCCTGCCCTGCCTGCACTCTGATCAACGCGCCACGGGCCAAGCACTGCGCCGCCTGCCACACGCCCCAGCTCCTGGTGGTCCAGCGCCGGGGCGTGGCGCCCCTGAGGCGCAGGGAGAGCATACACGTGGAGAAGCGGCGGCAGACGGACGAGGGGGAGGCCAAGGCCCTCTGGGAAAACATCGTGGCCTTTTGCCGGGAGGTGAGTGCCCCCAGGACGGTGTCGACGCCCCACGGCCAGCTCTCCCCTTCCCGTGGGCTCCTCTCCGGGCACATCCCCGGTCCCCCAGTCAGGGCATTCACGTTCTCTGTCCTTCCCCAGTGTCCCTTCTGTAGGGAGGAGGCCGGGGAGAGGGAGGAACCTGCCCCAGAGGGCCGGCACCTCTGTCCCCAGGCTTGGAGCAGCGGCCCAGTCCCTGTCCCCCACATCTTGCCCCTTCCTTCTCTGTACCCACGAGGGTCCGTGACCCCATGGTCTGCGCTCCTGACCCTTCTCAGGCGATGTCGCACAGATGGTGAATCCCCAGGAGGGGAGGATGTGGGTGGAGGCTCCGCCCCAGCAGGCGGCCCTGTGCTTCCTCCAGCCACAGAACCCTGCTGGAATGGGACGCGACACTCCCTCATGCTCTTCTGCCCTTGTGGGTGTTGGGGAGGCCAGAGTCCAGGCCAGCACTGCCCCCGGGGTCAGTTGGAGGGGCTGTCTGGCCCCACCGTCACCGTCAGCCACCCAGCCGGACACTGGGGTCTCAGGTCCTGGCTTCGCATCCAAGCCACGTCCCCGCTTCTCTCCCCGGGGCATCCACGGCTGGGGGAGCCACCCAGGTTCCCTGCGGCCCATGCACACCGCCCCGTGGCCTCCAGGCTGGGGCTGTTTGGTGTCCCAGGGGCTGCGGTTCCCCAGGCCCACACGGGGTGGCGTGGCCCACACAAGCCCCGGCCGAGCCCTCCACAGCCCTTGGGCTGGCTGCACACCCCCACCCTCTCCCTTCTGGAGCATTTTCGGGCCGGTCTCCCGGGTAGTGGGTCTGGCGCAGCCTGGGGAGCCTGAATGTGAGGTCACGGCCCCTGCAGAACAGCGTGAACTTCGTGGACGACAGCTTCCCCCCTGGGCCCGCATCCGTGGGCTTCCCTGCGGGCGACAGCGTCCAGCAGCGTGTGCGGCAGTGGCTGCGTCCCCACGAAATCAACTGCTCCGTGTCCAGGGACCAGAGCACCTCGTGGTCTGTGTTCCACACCCTCCGGCCCTCGGACATCCTGCAGGGGCTGCTGGGGAACTGCTGGTGAGCCGGGCGCCCGTGGAGGGGCTGGGCGGCGCGCAGGTCCCGGTGCTCACCGCCCCGGCTCTGTGCAGGTTCCTGAGTGCGCTGGCCGTGCTGGCCGAGCGGCCCGACCTGGTGGAGCGGGTGATGGTCACGCGCAGCCTGTGTGCCGAGGGCGCCTACCAGGTGCGGCTGTGCAAGGACGGCACGTGGACGACGGTGCTGGTGGACGACATGCTGCCCTGTGACGAGGCCGGCTTCCTCCTCTTCTCCCAGGTGGCGGGGCGGGCGGGCAGGGGAGGGACGCCGCGCGGCGACAGGCGTCAGGCCTCGCGACTCCAGCCTCTCCCGTAGGCTCAGCGGAAGCAGCTGTGGGTGGCCCTCATCGAGAAGGCGCTGGCCAAGCTGCACGGCTCCTACTTTGCCCTCCAGGCAGGGCGCGCCATCGAAGGCCTGGCCACGCTCACCGGCGCCCCCTGTGAGAGCCTGGCGCTGCAGGTCAGCTCCACTAACCCCCGCGAGGAGCCCGTTGACACTGACCTCATCTGGGCCAAAATGCTGAGTTCTAAGGAGGCTGGGTAAGAGGGGCGGGCGCTGTGGCGGTCAGCGGCGTTGGGAGGAGCGGCGAGGCGAGGGGACAGCCGGGCCGGGGCCTGGAGCGGTGGGACAAGCAGGGCGAGCGGCCTCTGACTCACAGCCTGCGTCTCCGGTGTCGCCGGCACCCCTCGCTGCTGGGCCGGGGGTCTGGCCTGCCCAGGTGGGGGGGGCGGGCAGGACGCTGCCCGTTGGCCTCTGCCTCAGCTGGGCCTGTGATGACCTCCAGCTCCCGCTTGGGACCGCGTGGAGAGAGCCCCGCAGAGGCACCTGGTGGGAGTGGGGTCTGCCCTTTGAGACCTGCCACACGCTGGCCAGTTTGTCTGTGGGGAGGGCCCGGAAGCTCACGCCTGGGAGAGACGGCTCCTCAGTGCCCAGACCTTGTGCTTTTGGCTGGTACTGGGCGCCGTCGCTGCCCTTGGAGGGCTGCAGCCCTACACTGGCAGGACCAGCCAACCTCGAGGCTTCCAAGGGACCGGGCCTACCCGACCCCCAGCCCAAGGCCTCTGAGCTTCGGGACCACAGTGGAGGGGGCTGGGCCAGCACTTCCTGGGTCCCACGTGTCTCACAGGGGCCCCCACAGACAGAGAAGGGCCTCCTACCTTCCACTCCCCGCTACTCCCCACCTCCCACCCCCCACCCGGGAGTAGCACCTCCCCGCTGGGCGGGGGCAGGGCGAGCAGAGGCCGCTGGGTACTGAGGGGCCCCCAGTCAGTGAGGCTGCTCTGCCCACACAGGTTCCTCATGGGTGCGTCCTGTGGCGGGGGCAACATGAAGGTGGACGATGCTGCCTACGAGAGCCTGGGCCTGCGTCCCCGCCACGCCTACTCCATCCTGGACGTCCGCGATGTCCAGGGCTCCAGGTAGGGGCCGGGTGGATGTGTGGTGGAAACCGTGGCAGGCATGGTCGTGGCCCTGAGCCCTGTGGTCCACAGGCTCCTGCGCCTCCGGAACCCGTGGGGCCGCTTCTCCTGGAATGGCAGCTGGTCAGACGAGTGGCCGCACTGGCCGGGGCACCTGCGCAGCGAGCTCATGCCGCACGGCAGCAGCGAGGGCGTCTTCTGGATGGAGTACAGCGACTTCATCAGGTAGCTGGACACTGCCGGCAGCGGGTGTGCGGTGCCTGCCCCATGGCTCCTGCCACCTTCCCCTTGGCTGCTCCCCTCGTCCCAGCATGTGGTGCCCTGGCCTGGGGAGCCCACCTGTACCTCTCCGAATCCAGCTCAGCACAGGGTCAGTGGGGTGGGGAGGGGGAGTGGAGGGCTTGGACCCCCAGGGCTCACCATCCTCACCAGCCCTCCCCATCAGACTTGGAACCCGGTGCCCCCTGGTGGTGTCCTCGGGCAAGAGCCAGCACCAGGGCTTCCCAGACACAGGTCCCTGGAGATGCGGAGGGTGCCCTGGGGCAGGGAGTGGAGCGGGGACAGGAAGTACCTGTGCCGGAGCCGGGATGAGAGCTGCCCAGTGGGGCTGCCCTCTCGCTGTCTAGGTACTTCGACTCCGTGGACATCTGCAAGGTGCACTCGGACTGGCAGGAGGCGCGTGTGCAGGGCTGCTTTCCCAGCTCTGCCAGCGGGCCGGTGGGGGTAACTGCTCTCACGGTGCTGGAGCGCGCGTCCCTGGAGTTCGCCCTCTTCCAGGAGGGCAGCAGGTGGGCGGGGCGGGGTGGGGGCGGGGTGGGGTTAGGCTGGTGAGCGGGGCGGGGCGGGGCTGCGCTGGGGGCGGGCTAGGATGGTGAGCTCCAGCGGGCGCGCGGCCGAGCTGCCCAGCCCCTGCGCTGACCGCCGTCGTCCCCGGGCCACAGGCGCGCAGACTCGGTGGACAGCCACCTCCTGGACCTGTGCGTCCTGGTGTTCCGCGCGTCGTTCGGCAGCGGGGGCCGCCTGAGCCTGGGCCGCCTGCTCGCCCACAGCAAGCGCGCCGTCAAGAAGTTCGTCAACTGCGACGTGATGCTGGAGCCCGGCGAGTACGCCGTGGTGTGCTGTGCCTTCAACCACTGGAGCCCCGCCGCGCCGGGCCCCCCGGCCAGCACGCAGGGTAACCGCGCACCCGCGCACCCCGCCCCGCCGCACGGAGCGCTGCGCGTACCCGCGCTCACACGCCCGCCCCCCGCCTCCCCCGCCCCTCCCCGCAGCCTCCAGCCCCTCGGCGGGGGTCCCGCGCTGCAGCCCGCAGCCGCCCGGCCATGTGCTGGCCGTGTACAGCTCGAGGCTGGTCATGGTGGAGCCCGTGGAGGCCCAGCCGACCACGCTGGCCGACGCCATCATCCTGCTCACCGAGAGCCGGGGCGAGCGGCACGAGGTGGGCGGCCGGCAGGGTCCCGGGGGAGGGGGACGGGGAAGGAGCCGCCGCCCCAGCCCACTCCTGCACGGTCTGTGGCCAGGGACGCGAGGGCATGACCTGCTACTACCTGACGCACGGCTGGGCGGGCCTCATCGTGGTGGTGGAGAACCGGCACCCCAAGTCCTACTTGCACGTGCAGTGTGACTGCTCCGACAGCTTCAACGTGGTGTCCACGCGCGGCAGCCTGCGCACGCAGGACAGCGTGCCCCCGCTGCACAGGTGGGCCCCGCCCCGCCCCGCCCCCGCCCCGCCCCCTCACCTGGCTTCCGCTGGCCCTCACCGGCCCCCTCCCCCAGGCAGGTCCTGGTGATCCTGTCCCAGCTGGAGGGCAACGCGGGCTTCTCCATCACCCACCGCCTGGCGCACCGCAAGGCTGCGCAGGCCTTCCTCAGTGACTGGACAACCTCCAGGGGCACCCACAGCCCCCCTCTCACGCCCGAAGTCGCTGGCCTGCATGGCCCGCGGCCTCTGTGACCACCCCACCTTCCCAGCCCCCCACGCGCACTTTATGAGGGAGACCCCAACAGAGGACGCTTGAATCAGAATCTCAGGACCCCGCCCAGGGAGCCACTAGCTGTAGTAGCTTCCCCTAGGCCTTCCTCCCGCCCCTCCCTCCTGCCCAGAGCCTCCCAGCCGCAGAGCAGAATACCTCGAACCCGCCTGGAGCGGCCGGGCCTGTGCGCCCGGGCCTGTGCGCCCGCCTCTGGGACCAGCCGCCTGCAGGCAGGGTTCAGACGGCCCCGGCCACAGTGAGGCTTCTCTTTCCCTAGGGGCCGGGAGCCTCCTACCTGGAGGAGGCTGCTCGGAGCCTTGCTCCTAGAACCGAATCTGGGCAGGTCAGAGGCCAGGACCCCAGAGTGGGAGCAGGGGTCACTCCCTTGCAGGGGTCAGGCTGGACCCCCAGGGTGAACAGCAGCCATCTCCTCTGGGATGGAGGCTGGAACCCCAGAGTGAGCAGGGACCACCCCCTCATGAGACATGACAACAGGAGCCTTCTGTCCCCAGCTTGTCCCCAGAGCACATTTCCCTGCCCCCTGGCCTCCTCAAGGCAAGCAGGGGTCCCCGGAGTCCCAGCGGCGTGTCCCGGGAGGCAGGTGGCTGGCGGCCACGGGCTCAGGGCTGGGATGGGGAAGGTCCCAGCTGCCCCTCTGACGACACTATGCAATTCCTGGACCGCCTGCCAGGAGTGAAGAAGCCATGCCCTGGGGGCTGGAGGCCAGGGGCTGTGGGGCAGGGTCCAGCCAGGCCCCGGCCCCGGCCTGCTGTGAGGCGAGGTGGTTTGTCCTCACACCACCTGACCTCTGCCGGGAGGACCAGGGTCCGACAGCAATCCTGGGCCTCGCTGTCCGGGCAGAGGTCGGCCCCAGCTCCTCCCCCACCTCAGAAGCCGAGGGAGTCGAGCAGCTCCGTGGCTGCTCGGGCATCCTCCCTGGTGGCTGCTGTCAGGCCGGAGTCCCGCGTCTGCCCTTGGACATCGGAGGCCAGCTTCCTGGGGGCCCGCCTGGCCTCAGTGTCCTGCTGTGCCCAGGCAGTGGGCAGCCCTGGAGCGCTTGGGGGCCTTTTACACCTGGAGAAGCATCAGGACGCTTGCCATTCCCTTTCGGGCCTCCTTTGTACCCCTCCTGTTACTCGGAGCTGTGAATATTTTTAACCCTGTACATACGGCCAGCTCTTCTGACCCAGAGGCTATTTTATCACTTGTCAGTCCCCATCCCTGCAGGATGGTTCTCCTTGGGTGTTTCCAGACTCAGGCTCCAACGGACCAAATAAAAACGTTTTGTTTTGTACTGATGCCTCCCGATCTGTCTGCCGCCCTTCCCGGGGTCCCTGGATTCCCGCCTCCCCTGCACAGGCAGGGGCTATCCCGAGGGCCACCCAAGCCTGCCCTGGGGGGAGCGGGGAGTACCTTGGCGGGCAAGGCTCACCAGCACCCGAGGTGCTCACAGGCGGCCTTCGGGACACCCTGCTTGTGCCTCACGTGCGTCCCTGAAGGCCTGGGTGTCTGGGCAGGGCAGAGGCTCGGGCCAGGCCGTGCCGTGGTCAGCAGGCTGGTCCCTGCGCAGACAGAAGAGCACCCGTGCGCGGCTGTTCCCTGTGTGACATTTGCTTTCAGGGGGACGGGGGGGGGCCTGTCTGAATCTCTCAGCTCTATAGGCAGGAGCAGATGGAGCAAGGGGGTGCACAGGAGAGAAGTGGCATGGTGGCTGTCCTGCTCCCACTCGGTCCCCTCCTGCTCGCTCTGGGGGGCGCCGTCCCCGTCCCACGGGTGGCAGGCCTGATGAGCGCTCCCTGGGCTGCAATTTGCACAGCGCCGCTCACCCCCACCCCACGGAGGCTGCAGAGTAGAGGGGGTGCGGAGGCTGGCGCTCGGGCGGGTGTAAGAGGCCTGTCACAGGCCAGCCTATCGAATGTGAAAGCAATTAAAGCCACCAGCAGTGTTCGCTCCGGGCGGGCCTCGGGCAGCGGGGCAGCTGCCACAACACATCTCACGGGCGCCCTGCTCCATCGCGGCTGCGCCGGCCTCACTGGGCCTTGTCCGGTGGGGCAGGGGCGAGTCCACCTGGAGTGGGCAAAGAGCTGGCCCTGTCACCCCCGGGCGTCCCAGCAGCCTGGACCCATCTCCTTACCCAGAAGCCTCCGGAAGCAAGATGTGGGAATTGTGGGTTCCCAGGGTCCTTGTGGTGCCAGGCCAGGCAGGGGACTCCACTGGGGGAGGGGGCTGTGTGCCCACCCCCTCCCCTTGAACCCTAGCCTGCAGGAGAGGAGGCTCTAGCAGGTAGACGGGAATGGAACGGGGGACCAGGTGTCCCCAGCCCCAAAGGGCACACAGTGTCCGAGGAGGAGTTGGGGGACCCCCATAGTCCAGAGCCTTCGATGTGACTTGGGAGCTCATGGAGGGTCCTGGCAAGGGGTGAGGTGGGGCTTGGCCTGGGTCAGGACCTGGGCCCCCGGGGAGGCGGCTGGTGGGGTGGAGAGAGGACGGGGGACCAGCCAGGCTGGCCGGGGTGCAGACTCACCCGCCAAGCCCTTGGCCGTGGCTGGAGGCACCCGGATCCCAGTGCTACCAAAATGGGGAGCAGGCCCAAGGCCAGGGGCCGTCCCCCGCCTTGCTGTGGGGCCCCAGCTCCCCACCTCAGCCTGCTCGGTCTCCCACCTTCTGTCTCCTGGGCCTGGGCCCTCCTCCCCGTCTCGGCCCGCTGGCCTGGCCTCTCGTTCGGGCCGCCTCACTGCCCACTCGGCCTTGGCGGCCTTCTCCAGGCGGGCGGTGCTGTGTTCTCACTTGTGAGGGGTCCCTGTCAGAAGCACTTAGTGTACAAATTAGCCGCGGCCTCCTCCCGGCTGTGGGCGCCCGGCTGACAGGGCCGAGGCTCCCGGCGCTCTCCCGCCCGCCCCGGGCACCCACACAGCCCGCGTGCACCCCTGGCCGTCCGCCCACCACCGAGCGGCAGGGCTGTTCCTCGCCTGCCCGCCAACCAGGGCTCCTCTCGGGGCCCCCGACCCTGACCTGGCCGGGGGCTGACCACGCCAAGGCCGAGCGCTTGGCCAGATAGCCGGGGGCCAGAGCTCAAGGCCCGGCGCTTGGGTCTACCCCAGAGTCTCAGGCCCAGTGTCAAGAGAGCCGTGGGGGGACCCGGAGCTGGCACGGCGGCTGGGCGGCCCCCTGCCCTGCCCGCTGGCTGGCCTGCCACTCAGGCAGGGAAAATCGTCTGTGACAGGCCCAGCAAGGCCGGGCCCCCGGGGCCGAGCAGCCGGGCACACAGCTCCTCTCCCAGCATATGGCTGCTGTCGGCCCCAGGCGCTGCTCGGCCCACACGGGCTCGCAAGCGGGTGGGGGTTCGGGTGGCCTCAGCCCCGCATCCCACCCGTCTGGCCACTCCGCTGCCAGAGCTCGCATGCCTCCCATGACAGGGAGCTCGCTCCCGCTGCACCCAGCTCTCCCCGGTCCCTCCAGGGAGCAGCCCGAGGCACAGGGAGAGTCTCCCCCCAGACCTCACCCCAGAGTTGCCAGGGGCCGGCGTGTTGGGGACAGAGCCGTGGGAGGGGCCGTGGGGGCCTCCAGAGGGCGGAGCCTGCAGCCGGTTGGGGGAGAGCATGGCAAAGCACGCCTGGGCAGACAGAGAGTCACCATCGCAGGTCCGGGGGAGCTGCCGCCGCAGGGCGTCTCCTGGGGTCCCCCGCCCGGTGCCGGCAGCTTCCCAGCAGGGTCTCCTCCCTTGGGGTGGCCTGCTCCACCCCACGTCCCTGGGCCTGTTTGGGCCGCCGCACAGATTCCCTGAGAATTCCCCAGGCTCTGCATGTGCCTGGCCCTCTCTAGCCCGCAGTGGGGACCCACAGGCCCGTGCCCGTCCTTGCCAGTCGCTGCAGCCACGGCTTCCCGCACAAGCCGGCCGGGAATCTCCCATGATCCGCATGGGGCTGGCAGATCCGCCAGCCTCAGGCAGCCTCAGGCCGGCCTCCGGGTCCCTCGGGTGGGACCCTGCCTCCTTTGGCCCAAGCCCTGGGCCCAGCCCTTGGAGCCAGGACTCCCTGATGCCCCGCCAAGGAGCCGAGAAGGAGGAAGTACACAGGCTGTCTCGTGTCCTGGGCGTAGGGGGCCCCGTGCGGCGCTCACCTCTCCTGGGGGCTCCTCGACCCTGCCTGGGGGCTCCAGCCCCTCCAGGCGTCTGCCCCGCACTGCCCGGGGGAGTGTCCCCAGCCATTGTGCCTGTCCTAGAAAGAGCTGCGCGTGGACACTGAGGAGGTGAGACAGGGCCTCTGCGGGCCTGCTCCCCGGCCCCCCGGCCCCCCGCCTCCCCTGCCGCCCCCCTGCACGGACGCAGCAGCCTGAATGGAGGTGACAGGCGGACTGCCGTGGGTAAGCCCGGCAGAGGAGGTAAACGGCCAAAGCGAGGCTCTGGCAGGGGTCAGAAGGAGGGTCGGGGATCCCCACCACACCCTGCACCAGGACCCACTGAAGAGACGCTGCTGCCCTAAGCCTGCTGGTACCCGAAGCCCCTGGAGACCAAGTGCCCTCCCAGCCCTCTGCCGGTGAGGGGATGAGGCGGGGCCTCAGAGCTCGGAGCCACACATGACCAAGCCCCAGAGCCATGGGCGGCCCTGTCCTGCTTCAGGGGTCCGGACCCAAGCTCCTCCCAACGTGTGGAGTGGGTCCCCACCAGGGGTCATGACCCACCCCCACCCCTGCTCCTGAGTGGAAAGATGCCCTAGTGGTGAGGGAGCAGATGGGCCTTGGGCTGAGGGCACAGGGGGCAAGGGGCTGGCATTGACGTCCCAGCCTTGCCCAGCTCCAGGGCGTGGGGACAGTCACCGGTGCCCCTGGGGGCTGGCCAGACTCACACTCCCATGGAAAGGCCATTGGGCTGCCACCACCCAGTTGGGCTCTGGGGCCCAGCCCCACGCAGACCCTCCTGGAAGCCCAGAAACGCATAAAGGTCACACCCCCGGGTGCTGAGCCCCTGGAGGTGCCACCACCTCTCCTCTTCCTCAAACTCAGACTCAAAAGGCCACGCACGGGGGTGGCATCCTCCGTGTCCCGTCACCTGGAGTCCCAGCTTCCTCCCTCCTCTCTGCGCTCACGCGGGCGGGCGTCCCTGGCTGTCCTCTCTGCACATGGAAAGGAAGGGTCCCAGCACCCAGGACTCTCTGGCCCATCACCTTCCTTCCCTAAGAGATGGCCACAGCCTCCAGCGAGCCTATCCCCTGGGCTGGCGGCTGCATCCCCTCCCAGACTCAGAGGGCTCGGCCGGAGGGGGTAGGGGAGCAAGGAAGTGTCCCTGGGGCCCAGCGGCCAAAGCTTGGGAGCCGGCATCCCACGCCATCTCTGGGTGGCCTGTGCCCTTGACCCCCTCTGGTTCTGGCCTGTGACGAGGGACCCGGGCCCAACTGAGCACATCCAGGGGCCCGTGTGCAGAAGGAACAGGCCTCCTGGCCTCTACTCTCCACGGGGCTGCTGGCGTGACGGCCACTCAAGCTGTCTCCCGGCCTAGGGCTGCCTGCACGGTCAGCTGGTCAGCTGGGCCAGGCCAGGCGAGCGGAGAGGAGAAGGCTGGCGTGCTGTGCCACCCAGCCCCCAGCCCTACCCTTCGGACTTGACGAGGAGAAGAATCGAGTCCCCTCAGGTGGCGTCAGGGAAGGTGGCCCTGGGCCAGGACGGAGACGCTCACCCTCCAACCAGCCTCTTTGCCCTGGGCACACCCCAGAACCGCAGGGTCCTGCTCGTGATGCCTGTCACAGGTGACCAGAGCCCCGGGGGACCCGTGCCGACATCTGAGCCGTGGCCTGTCAACCCCCTGCACAGATGGGGAAATGGAGGCCAGGTTCATGGGGTCTGGGGGTGTTGGACTCTGCATCCAGGGCCCTCCTCTGGGCGCCCCACTTGAGATGTAATACCAAGAGCCCCTAGAGAATACTTCTCCCTTCCCCCCAAACTGAGTGGAGAGTACCCTGGAGCCTGAACCTCCGCCCACAGGGAGGGTGAAGGAGACCCTCACGGGCCTTCCTTAGCCATCTCTGGGTGAAGGTACCCTCCCCCCAAACAAAGGCAAGACTCCACCAGAGACATCGAGTCTGGTCCTGCCCCCGGCATGTCTGTGTTCACGTCTGGAACAGAACTTGCGGGGCAGATGAATTTCTACCAGGATCTAGCTGAGAAGTGGGACCCGGGACCATTAGATTTCGGCAGCTTGAGGAGCAACATGGAATCCGCGTCCTTGGGGAGGTGGGCTGGAAACAGGTCTGGCCGTGAGGACAGGAGCAGCAGGGGCTTCTACGGGGGGTCCCGGACACCAGAGGCTGTCTCTGCCCCTGCCCCTCCTCCACCACAGGTCCTCCCAGAGGCAACGCAGGCCCTTTGCAGGACCGGCAGGCAGAGAGCTGGGCCCCTGTCAGCGTGGTGAGGTAGTGTTTCCAGAGAAGGGAACGTGAGTCCACGGTGACCATCCTTTCCTGAGCCTGGTGCCATCAGTGGGCAGGGCAGGGGCTTAGGGAGTGTAGATCCGTTCAGCCTTCTGTTTGGAGGCGAGCTTGGCTGGGGAGCGCTGGTCGGGGAAGGAGACTGGCTCCACCGTGGGTGCCCTGGGCTCCTCCAGCCCTCCTGGGCTCTGTCTCCTGGCCAGGCTGGGCTCCTGCCCTGTCCGAGGCTGGGCTGCAGCCCTCCCCGGGCTGGCTCTGTGCCCCCACAGCTCCCCTGTCCCAGGGCTCAGCCCCCAGGCCTTGGCTCCGGAGGGCGGCTGTCAGGGGCCAGAGCCCTGCCCTGACGGATGAGTGCTGACGGCGCCTTTCCCTGCGCCCTCGGCCGCTGACACCCCGTCACACGGCTGCGGGGACCCGGGAGACCTGGCCGCCTCTGTGCACCCCCGCAGCAGCCTGCAGGCAACGGGGGCGGGGACGGTGCCGGGTGCCCCTCATTCGGCCGCACACCTGCGCCTCCACTCCCCGCTGGTCCACAGAGCTCCCCGTCCGTCCCTGCCCGCTCGGGCGGTGCCACCGGTGTCACCGGCCACCGTTCCATCCAGGACTCGCCGGCGCCGCGGAGAGGGCTGAGCAAGCGGGTCCTGGCGCGCGAGGTGAGTGCGGGCGAGGGGGCGGCTGTGGGCGGGGGGGGGGGGCACGAGGGAGACCGCTCCCTGCGCTCGCGAGTCCCCTCCCCCATGAGCCCGGGTCAGAGGTGGCAGAGCCCCCGAGCCCCCGCGCGCTGTGGCGCACGCGCGGCATCCCGCCGCCAACTTCGGTGGGCGCGAGTCGGCGTCGGGGGGACGCGCGCGGTCGGCGGAGGGCGCTTCGGGGACTCGCTGCCCAGTGAGTGACCGCAGACCGCTCGGGGGCCGCTCCCAGCGCCGGGCCTCAGTTTCCCTGTGGGAGTCCGTGTTGCTGCCCCGAGGGCCCGAGCCGGTCCCGCGGGCTCCGGGCTCGCGGCTGGCACCCGGCGGGGCTGGGGCGGGAACTTCCCGCCGCGTCTTGGGGCGTCTTGGGGGCCACGCGCAGACTTCGCCGGGCGCCGCGGGCTCCGATCGGCCAGCGCGCAGGTAGGGCGGGCTCGGGCGGCGGCGCGAAGTTTGGGGGCCGCGCGGAGCCGGGCTGGGCTCGAAGGGCGCGGAGGCGGCGGGACCGCGGGAGTGTCCAGGTGTGGCCGGCGCAGCCCCAACCCCCATGTCCCCCTCACTTCTGCTCAGGGGACCCCCTGGGCGCAGCCCTGTTCCTGTAGGAGGGCACCCTCCCTCCAGGGGTGCGGTGTGCTGGGGAGGAGGAAGGAGTTGGGGTCTCCACCTCAGCCAAGGAGGAGCCTGGTCACCCCCTCTCTACCAAGCCCTGTGGGGCTCTGGCCAAGTCTCTGGGGGGGCATGGGGGATGGGTGAGCTCCAATCTCCCTGCTGGCCCACCGAGGCTGCAGGCACAGGGCACCCTCTCTCCTCCCTGGGGTAGGGCCTCCTTCTCCTGCCTGGACACCAGTTCTCTCCTGGGCAGGGAAGGGCTAGTGGGCTCAGGTGTCTGGGCCAGCAGGCTGCCCAAGGACCCTGCACCCAGTCACGCGTAGGGACACGTGTGCAAACGAACGTGCTTTTGTGTGTGGGGGGGGGTGCTTGCTGGTGTCTGGGGGTGTCTTCTGCTTGTGCACAAGCATACTGGGAGGGCGCCAGGCGTCCTCTGGGTCCCCATGGGGCCAGTAGCTGCTAAGATGTTCCCTGAACAAGCCCCCCCCCGCCCAGCACAACGCACACGCAGGTGACTGATGTGAAGAGGGAGCACAGGAAGAGCCCTCCACCTCCTGAGTCCAGGGGCCTGACTGGGAGGTGGGCTGGGTGGTGGCACCAGGCGGCACAGCTGTGTGGCTCCCAGGGCTGGGTGATCGATGGCCCCAGTGCAGCCGTCTCTGTCTCCCAAGCACACATGCCCATTTGTCATCTGTATCTTGGGGAGGGTTCGGGAGACAGGGATGGGGCCCACCTCTGCTCCCACCACCAAGTCCAAGAGGGTCTGCCGCCCCTCAGGGAGGCCCCGAGACCAGCCCCCTGCTCCCAACCCCCATGCCCTTCTCCAAGCCCCATGCCCTACAAGGCATGGACACCCACAAACCAGTCAGTTCTCATCTGTCTGCTTTCTCCACCCACCCCCATGCCCTAGTGGTTGCCAGGCTGATCCCCCTTTCAAGGGCTCCTTCAGATGCTCTCTCCACCCGTGGGGGGGGGCACCCGGTGTTGTGGGGCAGCAGACGTGACTGCCCGCTGTGTGCAGAGCCTGAAGGCCAGCAGGGAGGATGGCCTGTGCCCCATGGCTGTGCTGCACCCTACCCCTGCCCCGCTGAAACCCCTGGCCAGCACTGGGTCCTGGGGAACAGGGCAAGTGTGTACGTATGCACATCTGAAGCGCGTCTGTTCCCATGTGTGTGCCCAGGTGTGTGTGCACATTCCCGTGCATGTGTCCAGGTACCTACTCGCCGCCCCGGCTGAGCTCTGAGTCCTCTCATGGGCACCGCCACCATGTCCACTCTGAGCAGGGTGTGTGTGTGTGTGTGCGTGTGTGCACGAGTGCCTGGGCCCCGTGCGTTTTGGCAGCTGACTCTCTACCAAGGCGGCCCAGCCATGCAGAGGCTGCCCCTCCAGGCGCCGGGTAAGGGTTCATCTGGAGCCTTGTAACGCTCGTGCGCACACACCCGAAGCCGGTGTGCACACACTCACCATGTGCCCCACGCAGGCGCACACAGGGACGGTGGATGGCCCAGGTGGCGGCCCAGATGGAGTGTGGAGCGGCTTCCGAGTGAGTGTGTGGGGTGTGGGGAGAGGAGGGTCTTGGCTGAGCCTGGCCGCTGCGGGCTGGGCCGCTGACCTGCCTGAAGCCACCCAGATGGCTAGGCTGAGCAGGTGGCTGTGCCGTGGGGCTGTGCCGGGACGTCCCCGCCCCCCCGCCTGGCCCCACACGAGGCTGACCCCCTCCAGTGCCCACCCAGCAGCCTGCCGGAGCAGGGACACACACACGTGCACACACATGCACGCACACACCGTGCTAGTGAGGCTTGGAGCTGGTCTGGTCTCTCCCCGGGCCGTGTTCATCTTGGCTTCCCTGCATAGAGGAGGGCTCTGGGGGGGAGGAAGACTGGGAAGGGCTGGTGGCCCCAGGAACCGGCCTTGCCACACCTGGCCTAGAGTCACTCAGCCGGTTGGCACAGATGGAATCAGCCCAGAAGGGGGCCTGCTGGGGGCTGGCGGGCGGGGGCGGACGTGAGCACAGATAAAACACAGGATGCCTCGTCGCCCTGGGTTTCGGAGAAGCAGCAGCTTCAGCAGCCATTCCCAGCGCGCGCTGCGACATCCCCCCTGCAGAAGCACTCGCTGTTCCCCCAAGTCACGCTGAGCTGGGGTCTTTGGTGCTCATCCGCCGTCGGGGCCCACCCGCGAGCGCGCGCGAAGGAGGAGGTGGGGGAGGGGGCGCGCGGGTGCGGCGCAGGCCGCAGGGTGGAGGTGGCGCCCCGAGCGGCTCGCGGAGGGCGGTGGGGAGCCGGTCCGGGGCGGCCGCTGACCAAGGCCCCCTGTGCGCAGGTGGCCATGGGGCCCGGGCCCGCCCACTAGCGGTGCCATGTCCCGCGAGGCGGGCTCCTGCCGCCTGGGCGCCGGGGCGCGGGCGCGGGCGCGGAAGCCCAAGAAGCCGCACTACATCCCGCGGCCGTGGGGCAAACCCTACAACTACAAGTGCTTCCAGTGCCCGTTCACCTGCCTGGAGAAGTCGCACCTGTACAACCACATGAAGTACAGCCTCTGCAAGGACTCCCTCTCGCTCCTGCTCGACTCCCCAGACTGGGCCTGCCGCCGAGCCCCCACCGCGCCCCGGCCCCGCGCGCCCAGCCCCGACGGCCCCGCGGGCCCGGCACATCCAGGCCGCCAGCCCCAGCCGCGGGGACCCCGGCTCCCAGACACGCCCCCCACGCCTGACCCGGCCTCTCAGGGCCTCTCCCTGCAACGCCGCATGGGGGGCCCAAAGCTGGGGGCTGACGGGTCCCGGGGGGCCCCCTCCCCGGGGGCCCGGGATGCCCAGAAGGACGTGGGCCCTGGGGGGCTTCTGGCTGAGGCGTGGAAGCCGGGGCCGGGTGGGGGCCAAAGGGGCATAGCCGTGGTGGACGGGGCTGCAGCTGGCCCTGAGAGCGGGGGCGTCCCCTGCTACCCCCCGCCCACCCCCAGCGAGTTCCCTGAGGCCCAGAGCCTCCATCTGTCCCTGCTAGGTGTCAACTGTCCTCTGGGCCCTGGTCTCTTCTCCTACCTGGGACCCTCCCTGGCCGCTGCAGCCCACATGCCCTTTCTGGCCTCTGCCAGCCCCCTGTTGCCCCCCACCTCTGCTTTCCCTTCCCCACAGACCCCTGAGCGCCCTGCCCTGGTCCCCCGCTTGTACTACCCCCTGCTGCTGGAGCATACGCTGGGGCTGCCGGCCAGCAAGGCTGCCCCTGCCAAGCCCTTAGCCACCCCAAAGGGGCCCCCTGGGACCCTGGCCCCGGGGCTCCTGAAGGTCCCAGTACCCGGGCTGAGCAGGCCCTGGCCCGGTGGAGCCCCCAGGGACTCAGGGCAGGAGGCGGAGCTGGACCAGGTTGCCCAGAGTGACCCCAAGAGGAAGCTGCCCCTGGGAAGCAGGTTGGAGCCCCTGAAGGGCCCCTCGGGCACAGTGAAAGTCAGCGCCCAGAGCAGGTAGGTGTCTGGGCCCCTGGCCACGGGGGTGGGGAGGGGAGGGAGGGGAGCTGGCCTGGGGGGCTAGGCCCCATTCTTCAGTCCACGGGGGGAAACCAAGTCCAGGGAGCCATACTCTACCGTTCTGGGATCCCAAGGCCCTTGGACAGGCAGCAAAGAGGTTCCCGGTGGAGGGGGGCAGGGATGGGGGGCACGGGTACAGCCTCTTGACTGGCTTCTACCCCCTAGCCTTCGGACGGGCCCCTCCATGGTGCTCTGGCCTGAGGACAAGGAGCCAGGCAACACCGAGACCCCGAGCCCTGCGGCTCCCCTGCACCAGCAACCCCTGGGCCTGGTGCCAGGCGGCCCCGGGCACGTGGGTGAGGACCTGACCCGGGCCCTCGGGGACTACGCCAGGGTGGAGCAGCGCCTGGGGCAGCTGGTGCCTGCGGGGGGCCTGGCCCCGCGGCCTCTGCGGGAGCAGCTGGGCAAGATTCGCCAGGAGCTGCTCACCATCCACCAGGCCTTGGAGCGGGCTGTGCGGCCCCCAGACGCCCCCCTCGACCTCTCTGTGAAGCGGGCGCCCAGCAAGGGGCCCAAGGGGCCTGTGGGGGCCTGGCCGCAGCTGGAGCTGGGCCCCACGCTGGCCCGGGGGACCCCTGAGCCCCCGCACATGCTGGGCCCCACAATAGCTGAGCCTTTCTCTAGCCACACCACCAAATGCGAGGCTGACTCCAGCGTCCCACCCCCAGGCCTGCCCCTTCAGGCCCCAGAGGACCCTGTCATTCCTGGCAGCAGCTGGGGGGCCCGTGCCGGCCCTGGGGGCTCCTGGCCCCCTGAGGCTGTCCCCAGCCTCCAGAGCCCCCCTGGTGCGGAGGTGTGACCACAGCGTCTGCTGCTTCCTCTGTTTTTAGCAGACAGGGCCCCTCCACCCCGTGTCCGACGCCCGGCCCCCCACCTGCCCCAGCCCCAGGGGTGTGGCCCAGAGCCTGTCCAGCATGCCCATGGACTGACCTCCGGGCCGCAGCCGTGACCTGTCTTTGGGGCCCCAAAGGACAGCAGAGAGTCATAGCTCCTTATCGATCACTGTTGTGAGTGCTTGAATAGAAATCATCTTCACATACCCAGTCTGGGTCTCCTTCTTCTCCTGCCGTTCCAGCATCAGCCCCGGGACGGTCCCCGCCAAGGAAGTGTCCCCGGTCTCAGCCTCTGAGTGGGCAGCATCCCGGCCCAGCCTGCTGGGTATCCACCACTGGGCCCCCCTGGGTAGGGGAATAGAATGGGGGGGCCTTCCCTCAAGGGGGTTGAGCCGGGAGAGGTGGGGGGTGGGCAGGTGTGTCTGGTCTGGGAGCTGGTCCAGCCTGTGTGTGGGCACCTTGCTGGGGCACTCGGACCCCTGGGCCTGCCTCCAGCCTGCGGGTCTGGCCAGGGCAGCTCGGATGTCAGAGCCTGGCTGCAGGCTGCTCCCTCTGCGGTTAAGCGGTGCCCCCACATTCTGTGGCCCAGGGCTGTTTGCCCGGCGTGGACTTAGCTGGGCCCCAGCCAGCCCCTGCAGCCACGATAGGCATCGGGCGGCCTTCACAGCTCACTGCCTCCCTCCCTGCTAGGCCACCTTGGGCTCTTCCCACAGGCGGGGGCAGCCAGGGAGGGGAGCCTGGGGGACCCTTGTACCTAGCTAATCGCTCCTGTCCCCGGGAGCTGGCCATACCTCTGTACCCACCTGGGAATGGCCCCAGGGAGGGCAGTTCCTGCCTGTGCCTGGCTCCCCAAGCTGGACCAGCCGGGCTGGGGCCAGTCAGAGCAGGACCGAAGGCTGCCCCATTAATTGTGCTAGGTAGCCGATAGCATCGGCCGCCCACCCCACCATGGGGCATTGAGAGGCCAAGTCCAGAGCTGGGGTGTGGGCCAGCCCGGTGGGAAGTGTTCTGGGTCACCGACGGGGGCTGACCCCCTCCCTTCCTGGAGATTCCCGGAGAGTCCAAGGGAGATCCGCTCCGCCTTGGCCCTCCGCTGACACCCCCTGTGTCTCTGCTCCCGGATTTCTCACCACCCGCCAGGCAGACGTGAGCCTGAGGGCATCAACCCAGTTTCACAGGTGTAGAAGCAGGACCCAACCCTGCCCGTTTGGGGGAGGGCCAGGATGAAACCCTGGAGACTCCCCACCCCAGACCCTGGTGAGTGACCCAGCCCACGTGCAAGGGGTACAGCCCCTTTCCCCACTTTCCAGAGGGCCTGACCCTGCAGTCCTACTGGGGGAGTGTGGGTGAGGCTGCCTCACACGAATGTTTGCTCGGGGCCTCCGAGGGATGCTAGCCCCAGGCAGGAGCCCCCCCACCCCACCTCTCTGAGCGGGAGCACATAGAGAGGCCTCAGAAAGCCCCGCAGCCTCGCCCTGCAGGGGTTGGAAGTGTCCAGGGGCCTCGTGGGGGCGATGGCCAGAGCCTCGGGCTGCCCCCGAGAAGGGTTACTTTCCTTGCCTGAAGGAAGGTAGGGTTCCCTGGGCAGAGGAGTTTGAGAAACACTGCCCCTCTGTCACTGTCCCCTGACCCCCAGCCTCTCCCCCCACCCCCCCACACACCTTGAGACCTCCCAATCCCCGGGGGCTCATGGAGGCCTCGGAGCAAAACCTGCAGCAGCCTTCACAGGTCCCATGTCCCCCAGAATTGTGTTCCAGGGGCCACATCTGGAAAAAGGAGACCTGGACCCATGGCTGGTTGCTGGGCTCATAGATGGGGCCAGCAGCACTCAGGACCTGGTGGGACTAGGTTTGAAGCCCGTCCCCCACCCCCGTGCCTCAGTTTCCTCAAGTGTGAAACGGGAGTACACCAGCACTCCCAGAAGAGCGGGGGAACAGGGGTCACCTCTGCTTGGCCCATAGTGGCACCATTTCTCTTGCAGCCCTGCACTGGGCCCAGCCTCAGGACCTCGGCTCAGAGCAGCTTAGACTGTGACCCCCTAGCCACACGCCTGTCTGTCTTCTGGTCTCCTGAGCCTCCCCAACCCGCTGGCAGGCTGCCCCTCACGGCCTGCTCTGTGAGAGGGACCCACCCAGAAACCCTGCTCGCTCCTGCCGGCCCTCACTGCTTGGGCAGATCCTGGTGCCTTCAGGCCTGCAGGAGGACCCCGGGATCTGCCTTGTCCCTGGACAGCCTTTTTTTTTTTTTTTTAAGATTTTATTTATTTATTTGAGAGACAGAGAATACAAGTAGGCAGAGAGGCAGGCAGAGAGAGAGAGGGGGAAGCAGGCCCCCCGCTGAGCAGAGAGCCCGATGCGGGGCTCCATCCCAGGACCCTGAGATCATGACCTGAGCCGAAGGCAGAGGCTTAACCCACTGAGCCACCCAGGCACCCGACAGCCTGCTTTTCATGACGGCTGGGGGTGCGCCTGTGCCCTGCGTCCACATGACGGACCTCACAGGACAGTCCATCTGCCGCCTGCCAGGGGCCGGAGCCTTCGTGCTGCAGGATGTGGCTATGATAGCCCTGGGCCCGTGGTGGTCAGCAACCTCGTCCGTGGGGCTGTCCACGCACTTCAGCACACTGCCCAAGCCCCCCAGGGCCACTGGGTCGTGGTGGGCGCCTTCCCAGCCCCCAGGGGGCTGGCTGTGGAGGCTGCCGGCCACCTTCTGGTGAAAGACTCCGTGCCTGGGGCCGTGCACTGTGTCCCGCTGAGCCCTGCCTTGCAGCCACGGGCCCCAGTCTCCACGCTGAGGCTGGAGGGTCCCCACTGGGTGGGCCCGGGGCCCGATAGGGGCTGCACCATGAGCAACGAGTTCAGGGATGTGCGGCTGGTGGGCAGTGCCCGCCAGCCCCTGGGCTCCCTGGGGGCTCTGACAGGGCATGCCGTTGGCAACCCTGGAGGTGTGTGCACTGATGTGGATGGCAGTGTGACCCTGTTCCCTAAGGTCTGTGCCCATCTGCCTGGTGTCCGAGGGACTGAGGCACTGTGGTTTGTATGCCCCAGGACCAGCTCATGGCGGCAGGTGTGGGGGATGGCGCCATCGAGGTGTACCAGTACTGCTCGAGGCTGGCCTGACCTGTGGGCTCCCCTCTGAGCCTGGTGCACCCCCCAGGGCCCCAGGGCCACCGTGGGAGAGACACTGGGGGCTGGCTGCACCCCCAGGACTGCTGGCCACCCCTCCCTGAACTGGAGCTCCTGCTGCCCCAGGTCCCAGCTGCCTTCTGCCTTCATCCTGGAGTTGGTTCAGACTTCATTGGCAGCCACCAACGAGCTGCCTCCCAGCCTCCAAAGCTGGGCCCTCTGCACACCCCAGGTTAGGGTGCCCGAGCACTCACGGCCCCCCTGTCCACTCAGGCCATGGCCCTGCTGGTCCAGGGCCCAGAAGGCCCGAGCTTTGGGTCCAGCCGCTGAAGCCTGAAGACCTTGCGCTGGGCCGGCTGCCAGCATTCCCCCAGGCAGCCAGTCTGGCCAGGTGCCCCGGTCCCAGCGTCCTAATCAGGCAGAAGCAGGCAGGGCGGGGTAGCTGGGCTGGGCTGGGCAGAAGCAGGGCAGGGCAGGGCAGGGGAGCGGCCCATCACTGTCCCCCATCTTCAGAGGCACCCCAGGTGCCAAGCCTCTTGCAGCTTCTCTGGGCCTACCTGAGGTAAGGTAAGGTAGGCAATGCAGAAGACGGGCAGCCCCAGAGGCACCCTGGGGTGGCACATGGCTGGGCTGGGAGCCTCCACACCCCTGGTCCACTTCTCCAGGGTGAGACCCTCTCTCAGGCTGAACCTGCGTTTTCTCCTCTGCAAACCAGGAGCAAAGGGCTCCCAGCTCATGGGTGGAGCATGCTGGGAAGGTTCCAGGTGGTGGTTAAGCCAGGAGAGCCTCCCTTTGAGGAAGGACTCCTGTTACTTAGGATCCATGGGCAAACGGGGCCCCAAAGTGTGGGGACGTGAGGGTGGGACTCTGTGTTTGGGGCCCAGACAGGATCCTAGTTCCAGTGCGAGGTCTCAGTGGGAAGGGGACAATGCCTGGTCCGGCCTGTCACCAGGACATTGCCTCTGACAAGGTCCCCTGCATATGAACCAGCCCCTGTGGGTGGCGGTATCTCAGTGGTCAGCGTAAGGAGGCACGAACACTGCGCGCTCAATGAGTGCTGTTTGTTGCTCCTGGTCACGGGGATATTGTTTCCTGGAGCAGGAGGGCTAGGGACCCCTCTGACAACCAAACCAGATGACTGCAGCCTCTGGGCTGACCCACGGGGATCCAGCTTTCCTAGCCCACTGGGCCCTGAGGGGACCTGGGGGCGTCCCTTTGCAGAGACCGTTGTTGGAGGTGGCCGGTCGGGAGCTGGGGAGGCAGCTCCTCTGGAACCCTACACAGGGCTTGGGGGTCCTTTCACCCTGGGAGGATGGTGGCAAGGTGAGGTCAGGGACCCTCAAAGCCAGGTCCACCAGGTCCCTCAGATGAGGAAATGGGGGATGGGGGAGGTTTGGCAGCTAAGAGAAGGTGGGGGACTGGAAGGCGGGAGTGTTGGGGACACTGCAGGGGGACTGGAGGAGGTACAAGAGTGCTGCGGAGGACAAGGACACTGAGGAGGGCAAGGACACTGACGGTGCAGGACAAGGACAGTCCGGGGGAAGGGGACACTGGGGGGCAAGGATGCTGGAGGGGGCAGTGGGGGCAAGGACAGTCTTGGTGGGGGACAGGGACGCTGGTGGGGCACAAGGACACGGGGGGTGGGGGACAGGGACACTGAGGGGCAAGGACCTGCTGGGCGGAGGGACAAGGACGCTGCGCGCACCGGACAGACGCCTGAGACTGGAACGTTGCGTGCCCGGAACGCTCGGGCGGGGTCCGCGGGCTGCTCGGGCGCCTTTGGAGAACGGACCGTCGCGCGGCAACGCCGGGAGCCGGCGGAAATGGGGGTCGGGTCCCGCGGCGCGGCAGCGGCGGGGCTGGGGGCGGCTAGCGCCGCTGTCCGGCCCGGCCCGCCCGACGCGGTCCGCCACCCCGTCCCGACCCCGCCGCCCGAGGGCGCGGCCCTGGCGAGCAGCTGGTGAGCACTGCGGGGCGCGGGCCGGCGTCCGTGCGGGCGACCTTGGGGCGCCGCCCCCGGCCCCCACCCCCGGCCCCGGAGCCTCCGTTTCCTCCTCCGCGAAGCGGCGGCGCGGCCGGCCGCGGGCCCTGGGGTAGGGGGGCCGGGGTGCGGACCGCGGCTGGCCCGCGGCGGACCGGGAAGGGCGGTCAGCGGGGCACGAGGCCGGGGCGGGGAGTTCGCGCCCCCGGGGGCGGGGGGGAGCCGAAGCCGCGACCGCGCTCCCGGGTCCGCGGGACCAGCCGCAGGCGACTCGGGTGCGGGCGGGGTCGGGTGAGCGTGGCGGCGACCTGGGGGGGGGCCGCTCCGGGCGGGTGGGGGCCCGGTCTGCGGTGCCCGCGGGTCTTCGGTGCCCGGGGAGCTCGGCCTCCCTGCCCAGCGCCTGCGGCCCCGGGGGCCCGGAGCGGGGCTGCCAGCCGCGGAGACCGTCTGGGAGGGGCCTGGCGCCCCCGACACACCCGGCCTTCCCAGCCTGCGCCGTGGCTTCGGATCGCGGCGCTCCACGCGGGCTGGTGCGCGAGCCCCGCCCCCCGCCCCCCGCTCACCCCCCCGCTCCCTCCCGCCCCCCCTCCCCGCTCCCTCCCGCGTGCCCCGCTCTTCCCGCCCCCCGCACCCCGCTATCGATCGGGCGCGCTTTCTTCTCTCCCTGGGCGTCGGGTCGGAGCCGCGTCGGAGCCGCCGTCTCTGTGATCCGGCTCCGGAGGCTGCGGCGGGGGCGACCCGGATCGCCCCCCCGCCCCGCCGAGAGAGCGGCAGCTCCTGGGCTCCTCCGCCTCCGCAGGCACAGGACGGCCGCGGCCGCTTCTTCTCGGGGTGGACTTTGTAGATGAAGCGCTGGGCGCACAAAGAGAGGCGCGGCCGGGGCGGCCCGGCTCAGTGGGTTTCCCGAGGTGAACGCGCCGCGGCTCCGGCAGGTGCAGCCCCCCCCCCCCCCCCCCCCCGCCCCCCCCCCCCCCCCGGGGGCTTTTTTCCGGCCGTAGCAGGGGGGCCGCTTGCCTCTGCTGCTGGGAAAGGGGCCCCAGGTGGGCTGAGCTGCTGTGTGTCCGGCTGGAGGGGCGGTGTGCCGCCGGGTCCCCCGCGGTGGTCCGCGAGCCCGGAGCCCCAGGTCCCTCGCAGCAGAACGGCGGGTCCGTCTCATCTTGCCCCTGCCGGGAGGGTTGGTTAGGAGAGTGGGCCCCCGTGGCGGCCACAGCAGCTTGGCCCGGCGGCTGTGGGGCTCCCGGCTTGCCCTCTCCAGTCTCCTGGTGGGGAGGGACGTTTCGGAGGCACCGCTTCAGCTGGAATCCCCAGCTGTGAGAGGCCTCCACCTCCCAGCCCCCGTCTGGTCTCTCGGCAGGAAGGGAGAGCAGCTGGACCCCTGACCTCTTTTTTTTTTTTTTTTTTTTTTTTAAGATTTTAGTTATTTATTTGACAGACAGAGATCACAAGCAGGCAGAGGCAGGCAGAGAGAGAGAGAGGAAGGGAAGCAGGTTCCCCGCTGAGCAGAGAACCCAAAGCCGGGCTCGATCCCAGGACCCTGAGATCACTACCTGAGCCGAAAGCAGAAGCTCAACCCACTGAGCCACCCAGGTGCCCCAGACCAGTGACCTCTTAAGCCAGGGGCCTTTGTGTCTGTGTAAGGCCCCTCCCAGAGACCCCCCAGCCGACAGGACATTGGTGACATGTCCCACCATCACAACGTGTGTGTCCCTGCAGGCCTGGGGAGCAGTGGGGCCTGGAGGTCTCAGGTACCATCCAAGGCTTGTGTCTCTCCCTCAGGACCTGTGGGCTCCAGCTTGGGGGTCTTAGCTCAAGGTGGCTGCTGCATCCTTTGTGCCAACAAGGTGGGGACAGCCAGTGTCTGAGAAAGCGTGCTCAGGCCTCGGCTGAAGGAGGGCTTGCTGCCCACCATCTAGAGGGGCTTGTCTTGGTGCTTGTTGAGGAACCTGCATGTGAACTGACCTCTGGGCGGGGCGGGGCGCAGGGTCCCACAGAAATCAGGGGCTGGTCTTGCTGCTGAGAGGCCACGTAAAAGTTGTGAGAGGTGGGGAAGGTTCACGGCCCTCAGCCCGAGAGAAGGCAGTGGGGAGCTTGTCGTCCTCCAGGGTCGCTGTGTTTAGACAGCTGCCCAGCTCCAGTGTGACGAGAGAAGTTGGGCCCCTGCTGGGAACCCAGCCCGGAAATGGCGCGTGGGCACCGCCCAAGGCTGGGGGGTCCACGCGAGCCCCGAGACTCCTGCGGGGGCTCACCGGACGGGGGGTGGGCATGGGGCGCAGGCACGTCTCCCGGTATGTTCTGGGGCTCCTGCATAGCGTCCACGTGACCAGCAGCGTGCCTGCGTCTGGTTTCCCTCAGCCCAGCAGTGATCCCCTTAGGCTTCGGTCGTTCCCCTCGCTAGCTTAGTAAGGAAATCGAGGTTCCTCAGACTTCACGTGCCCTGCTCTAATTGTTAACGAGACCGTGTGTGTCTCCACGTGCTACACGTAACAAGCTCTCACCGGTTTCCTTGGAAACAAGAACAAAGCCCTCATGTTCAGCCCCTCACCCCCTCCTGAGTGGTCCTGGGGGTCAGGCCTGTCTCCTCGCCCTGTTCTAGGGGGAAGTGTTGGCCAGCCTGGGGTGGGGGTAGGGGCTGTGCCCCCGTGAGATGTGCCACTGGGGTCCCGCCAGCCTCTGTGATCAAACCCAAGGCTGGGTGCTGGAGACTCCGTGAGGGCCCAACCCATGGGCCCCATGGCCCTGGGCCGGGGAGGTGGCGGCGGCAGTGCCCCTGGACTGAGCCTCTCCCCTCTGTTGCAGCCCGCCCGGCATGGTGCTCAAGGCCTTCTTCCCCACGTGCTGCGCCTCGGCCGACAGCGGCCTGCTGGTAGGACGGTGGGTCCCGGAGCAGAGCAGCGCCGTGGTCCTGGCCGTGGTGCACTTTCCCTTCATCCCCATCCAGGTGAAGGAGCTGCTGGCCCAGGTGCATCAGGCCGGCCACGTGGGGCTGGCTGTGCTGGGCACCTGGTGCCACCGCCGCCAGGGGGCTGAGGAGCGCCTGGGGCCCTTCCTGGAGGGCCTGGGCGCCATCTTCTCCCACGAGCCCTGGCTGCAGCTGTGCCGGGAGCGGACCAGCGGGCTCTGGAGCTGCAAGGCCACCTGCCAGCAGGGGCCGGCCCGCGTCAAGGACCAGGTCATGCTCGTGTTCTACGACCAGCGCCAGGTGCTGCTGTCCCAGCTGCACCCGCCCGCAGCGCTGCCCGACCGCCAGGCCGGGGACGCCGCGGCCAGCGCCGAGGGCTTGGCTGCCGTCTTCGACACGGTGGCGCGCAGTGAGGCGCTCTTCCGGAGCGACCGCTTTGACGAGGGCCCCGTGCGGCTGAGCCACTGGCAGTCGGAGGGCGTGGAGGCGAGCATCCTCGCGGAGCTGGCGAAGCGGGCCTCGGGGCCCGTCTGCCGGCTGCTGGCCTGCCTGCTGTCACTCATCTCTGCCGCCAGCGCCTGCCGGTACGTGCCCCTGGGGCCGGGGCGGGAGGAGGCCGGCCGCTGAGCACGAGGCCCACCACTCAGGGTGCAGAGCTGTGGAGGCCCAGACGCGCCCTGCCGAGTCTCCTGCTTCCATGTCCTGTTCCCTCCCCCGATATCCACGGGGACGTCTGGGGGGCGGTTGCTCCCAGGGCACAGCAGACTCCCTTGGCCGCCTCCGCGTTTACATGGGACCCACCGGGTAGCCATCCAGTGTGGACTCCAGGTGGCTCAGTCCCCTGCGGGGGAATGAGACCGTGAACCAGACCAACGGCTGGTGTCCGCGCGGCCCGGTGCCTGGGAGCAGTCCTCCTAAAGGCACACAGGTCCCTCCTGCTTCCCTGGCCCTAGCTTTGCGCAGTGGCAGTATCGTAGCCAATGAGGTTTATCCGAGGCGCGATTATTGCTAATTGCTTCCCTGGCCCTGGTGGGCCCGTGTCCCCTGGGATACTGGCTGCGGCCCCGGCCCCAGGGGTAGCCCTCGAGGGCCCAGGGAACGCTGGGGCGGCACCGGCTGTTCCGGCCTCAGGGCCCCTCCCTCTGTGAGAAGCTGGCTCCCCAATGGTGCCCCTACTTAGGTCCAGTTTGGGGTCTGGCCTCGCCTGCTGACCCAGGGCTGCAGAGCACTCTGGCCTGTCTTGGCAGAGCCCCTGGGCAGCTGTGTGTGGACGGTGCCTTGGGTTGAGGGCTGCAGGGAACCTGGACACGAACGGTGGGTTTGGGATCGTCACAACCCCCTGGAATGAGTTACAGGAAAGTGAGTGTCAGCCGAGGGGCAGTTTGGGGGCCGGTCCTTAGCTGTTACCACCTTCCAAGGACTCGAGAAAGGTTAGTGATGCTGGTGTGGCTCCGACCCTGATCGGATCATCAGCTTGAGCCGTGGGGAGAGCACAGCGGCAGTCATGCGTGGCATGGCCGTTACTGTGCAGGAGAGAAGCCCCCCGGCCCTCTAGGGCAGCCCCGGGATGCTATTGGGCCCGGCTGCCCTGGGCTGGTCTGAGCCTCGGGGACCCTGCCGTGCCGGCGGGGGTTGGGGGCTCGGTGCAGACAGTGCAGGGCTGCCTTCCACTTGACTGGCGTTCGGGACGGCTGTGCGGACCGTGTCTCCTTCCTGGGGCTGGCTCGGAGCTGCTCGAAGGCTTCCTCCTTCCTCCCGAGCGTCTGAGCGCCTGGCCGGGTGGCAGCTCTGCACTGGGCCCGGGCCCGGGCCCTGCAGGGTCCTGCCTGCGGCAGCAAGGCTCTTGCAGGCACATGGAACCGGCGGCCAAGAGGCCTTCCTTACCTTTGCCTGCACACACCTCCTCTCAGTGCCGGGACGTGTGCAGAAGCGCCTCGGTGCTTCCTTCCCCTCGGGAGACACCAGTCCCATGGGGCAGCCCGATCGGCCCGCAGACCGCCGACGAGGGTCGCCCATCCAGCAGGGCAAGGCACCGGCTGGCGGGACAGTGTGTTCTCTCCTCTCCTGGGGCGAGGCCTTAGCTCGTGACTTTGGGGGTGCCTCGGGTCAGTGCTTGTGTCGCCCCACCCCCATGGTGTCCCTGTCCCGCTGAGCTCAGGAGCGTGGCCGTCGTGTTCGAGGCCTCCAGGGTCTTGAGGTGGGCCTGGGGAGGGGCACTAGCACCAGCTGAGGGGCCCCTGCTCCCTGGCAGGCAGGGGAACCGCTGCATGGCCCAAACGGCCACCTTTCTTGGCCCGTCGCAGGGTGTTCAAGCTGCGGCCACTGTCCTTCATCTGGAGCAAGCTGGCTGTGTGTGGGCAGCTCGGGCACCGGCTGGAGCAGCTCGAGCTCGTCTTCAGCACCCAGAAGGCCGAGAAGCCCGCCCAGCTGATGAGGTGCAGGGCCTGCTGCTTTTGTTGTGGCCAACGGCGCCTTCCCAACGCCCTCACACCGTGCTCACCCGCGGCCCCCTCCGGCCAGGCCCCTCCGGCCAGGCCCCTCACCACCCACTCCCATCGGCCCCTTCCTTCCAGGAAGGCCAACGTGCTTGTCTCTGTGCTTCTCGATGTGGCCCTCGGCCTTGCGCTGCTGTCCTGGCTTCATGGGAAGGACCGCATCGGGCAGCTGGCGGAGGCCCTCGTCCCTGTGGCTGATGTGAGTTGTTTGGGTGGAGCCTGGTCCCGACTGGAGCACCTGTGTCCCAGGGGTGGGGGTAGGGGTGGGGCCCTTCCTGGGGGCAGCAGAAGCCCCTCAGCTGGCCAGAGCTGCATGCCCCTTCCCCTCTGGTGGGCCAGAGGAGCAGCCCTCATCCCTGACCCCAGACAGGTCCTCAGGGCTGCACAGCCTTGGCTTACCGGGTGCCCGCCTGCCCCCACTGGGTCACGCCTTAGCTCCTGGCCTCTACCTTCCATTCCCGAAGGTGGTCATGTCCGGCGGGGGAGCCCACCCGCCTCCATCAGGCCCAGTGTCCCTGACTCCTGGCTCTTCAGGGTACCGGCTCTGGGCTTGGCTGTCGGCACAGCAAGCCGCACAGAAACCTCCCGTGGGTCCGGCGCTGTCCGTGCCATCAGGCTGCTCCCACTGCTGACTCTGCAGTCCCCACGCTGAGTGCCAGCAGCTCGCCTGCAGGCCCCACCCCCCCCCCCCCCCCGTGATCCTTCCCCCGGTTTCCAGGATTTCCAGCCTGTTGCTCTTCCCTGCCGGGGCCAAGCCTTTGGCTTCTCTGCCTCCCTTTCTCAGAGCCGTAAGGCCTGTCACTTCTGTTGCGAGCTTGTCTTCCCGCTTGGGGCAGTCCCTCTGGCCCCTGGGCCTCCCCCAGTGGCATCCTGGCCCCCGCGTGCTCGAGGGGCCGAGGCCTGGCTGGGTGGCCCCATGCTTGCTGCCTCTGGTGCGGCCATCAGCATCCGACTGCAGACGTGCCCTGGGCCTGCTCGTGGACAGGACCCCTCACAGGCCGCGAGCCCCCATGCTTCTTGGGGAGACCTGGTCCAAGAGGAGGGAGGGCCTGGAGGCCAGGAAGGGGCTTAGCTGCTGCACTTGGCTAACCCACGTTCTGCCTTTTGGCCGGCTTTGTCTTCGATCTCTTTTTTGCAGAACTGTGCAGAGATATAAATATTTAATTTATTTTATTTTATTTTTTAAAGATTTTATTTATTTATTTGACAGAGAGAAATCACAAGCAGGCAGAGAGGCAGGCAGAGAGAGAGGAGGAAGCAGGCTCCCTGCTGAGCAGAAAGCCCGATGCGGGGCTTGAACCCAGGACCTGGGATCATGACCTGAGCCGAAGGCAGTGGCTTAACCCACTGAGCCACCCAGGCGCCCCTAAATATTTAATTTAAAAACGAAAGTCTCTTCCTGCTGCTCAGCTCTTATCCTTTAAATATTAGATAAGCTTTATTTATAAAGAATGTTCTGTTCCTCTCTTCACTGCCGTGGCCCGCATGGTGGGCAGTGGGGGACGGCAGGCGTCTGACTGTGGGGCAGGGCTGTCATGGCCACCGCCTCAGCATTGCTGACGAGGCTGGGGCCTTGGGGCCTGTGCGCTGGGACTGGCACAGTGCCCGGCCACCGGCCTTCATCCCTGCGTAGCCAGGATGCTGCTCATCTCCCCTGCTTGCTTTCGAGAGCCCCCGTGCCGTCTCTGGCCCTCCCTGGACGCTGCTCCTGACTCAGACCCCATCTGCGCTTCCCTCTACGAAGCCCTCCAGCTCTCCCCCTGCTCCATGGGCCCCTGATGGCTCGACACCCTCAGGGTCACCTGGGGTCACCCACCCAGCTCAGGCCCTCGGTGGTGCCATGCCAGGTGGTGGGGTGTGGTCCTCAGCCGAGGGGCACTGGGTAGACCCATAAGCTCCCTCTATAAGATTCATGGTGAGCTGGGGTCTGTTCCACCTCTGGGCATGTGGGACCCAGCACGCCTGTGGGTCCAGTGGTGAGAGGATTGAGGTGGAGGAAAGGTGATGCCCTTCAGGGCCCTTGTGGCCTGAGGACTGGGGCAGACTGTCAGCCGCGTGGGCTCTGTCTCTTAGGCCCAGGTCCCAGAGCCTCCGTGAAGAGAGGTTCCTTGGCCAGATGAGTGTAGGAGACCTTGTGTGCTCAGCACATTAGGAGACACCTGGGGTGGGGGGAGCCCAGACTCCCTGGGCTGGCTGTGCTGGGGCCCAGGCTGTGGGCTTCCTGTCCCTCCTGTGTCTCTGCAGCATGTGGCTGAGGCGCTCCGGCACCTGCTGCAGTGGCTGATGGGAGCACCCGCTGGGCTGAAGATGAACCGGGCGCTGGACCAGGTGCTGGGCCGCTTCTTCCTGTACCACCTGCACCTATGGATCAGTGAGTGCCGTCCGCACCGTCCCCCCGTCCTTGCTCTGCCGGCTGGTGCCATCCGCACTGTCCCCTCCATCCTTGCTCTGCCGGCTGGCTGCTCACATTTCTGGAAGTGAGGGACTGGGGGGGCCAGGACCTCCCCCCGCTGCTCCCTTAGGGCCAACCCTGTCCCTCCAGGCTATGTCCACCTCCTTTCCCCCTTCATCGAGCACATCCTGTGGCATGTGGGCCTCTCGGCCTGCCTGGGGCTGACGGTCGCCCTGTCCACCCTGTCCGACATCATCGCCTTGCTCACCTTCCACATCTACTGCTTCTATGTCTACGGGGCCAGGTGGGTGAGCGTGCCCCCGTGTGGCCGGTCCATGGCGGCTCCCAGCCCTGAGTGCGCAGGTGGCCTCGTGCAGGGGCGGGGGGAGGTGCAGCCCCTGATGCGCCTGTGGCCCACAGGCTGTACTGCCTGAAGATCTGCGGCCTGTCCTCGCTCTGGCGCCTCTTCCGGGGGAAGAAGTGGAACGTTCTGCGCCAGCGCGTGGACTCGTGCTCCTATGACCTTGACCAGGTACGCGGCCAGAGGGCAGGGGAGATGGCACCGCAGCCCCAGGGAGCCTGTGGGACCCACGGGTGACTGTCCCCATGCTCCTGTCCACCTGCTCCCTCTCTGTGAGCCCGGCCAGGACGGCTGCGCAGCTTGTGATGTGGCAGCTCGGCGGCCAGAGGGCTGAGCCTGGGGAGCGGGAGTGGTCTGCGGGGGGCCAGGTGCACGTGGAGCCCTCACAGTGGAGGACCTCGCCCCAGGTGGGAGGCAGGCCCCGGTGTGAGGAGGGTGCTGGGCCCCCGGCAGCTCCTGGCCCATGGGGTGTGGACGTGACCTATGCACGGGACCTGGCTCTGACTTTTCCCCTAGCGTGCGCAGACCCGGTCTGCGGGGCGGACCCCGTGTGCTGCGCTGGGAGGCACGCCCTTCCTGCCGGCGGGTCACGGCCCTCCCGCCTTTGGTGCACAGGCCGAACCCTGCTGGCGGTTCTGTCTCCCGAGTGTCTCCTGTGCGGAGACAGCTGTCGTGCGCGGGTGTTCCTGAGTGTGTCGCGAAGCAGGGGTCTTGCTGGCAGACAGCCCGCTTCTGCCTGGTTGCAGGGGGGTGCGGTGGGGGCGGCCACGGAGGTGTGGCCCGGCGTGGACTCCCGCCGGTGCTGACGCAGTGCCACCGTCCCTGCAGCTGTTCATCGGGACTCTGCTGTTCACCGTGCTGCTCTTCCTGCTGCCCACCACAGCCCTGTACTACCTGGTGTTCACCTTGGTGAGCCGAGAGGCGGCGCGGCGGGCATTGTGCGTAGCCCTGGCCGATCTGGCCCATGGCCCTCGGCCACAGTGCTTGGAGTGCCGGCCCAGCAGCCATGGACAGGCCACCCACCCCTACCCCAGATGGGGCGTGGCTGTTCCAGACTCTCGGGGCGCTGTGTGCTGGGCCCTAGAGCAGACGGGGGTCCTACCCTGGGGGGATGCCACCCACTGCTCTGGGACACACAGCTGGGTGCACAGGGGACAGGACCCAAGGGGCCAGTGGCATGTTTCCCGGGGGTCAGCTTCCCTTGCCCGCTGCTCCCCTGCCCCCTCACAGCTGGGCCTCAGCGTTGGGGTGGGAGCTGTGCCCTCCCGGGATGAGCTCCGGGCCCTCCCCAGGGGATTGAGCCCCTGCTCCCCCTCCGCTGTGGCCCAGGACCCTCTGGGCCGCAGCGCTCCCGGGCGTGTGGCTGAGCGCCGTCTGTCGCTGCAGCTCCGGCTGCTGGTGGTGGCCATGCAGGGCCTGATCCATCTGCTTGTGGACCTCGTCAACTCCCTGCCGCTCTACTCGCTTGGCCTCCGGCTCTGCCGGCCCTACAGGCTCGCGGGTAGGTCTGTGTGTGGGGTGCGCGCAGGTGCCGCCGCGGGCCCTGCCTGGAAGCCGCGGTGTGCAGGGCACGGGGCCTGGGGGTGGGCAGAGACCGCCAGGTGTCCCCTGGGCCGGCTGCCTGCAGTGAGCTGGAGGGTCCAGAGGCGACAGAGGCAGCCCTTCCTGTCTCACCTGCTTCTGTGATGCACGTGGACCTTTACCCTGACACCTGTCTGCAGTGGTGTAGGTGGTACCTAAATGTGGCTCCAAGAAGCGTGCCTGTGAACTTGTGTGGGACTGGGTGTGTGGCTGGTGCCCCTCAGCCTTGGAGGGGACAGGCCAGCCCGGAGGGTGCTAGAGAGCAGCTTCCCACCCCCACCCCACACCACTGCACGGGGACAGCGCCCCCCCTCACTGCCCCTGGCCGTCCCCCTCACTGCCCCTGGCCGTCCCCCTCTGCAGGTGGCTGCCCCTGTTTTCATGCTGACACCAACCACTAGGTCGGCCAGATGCCCCTGAGGGAAGGTCATCCCCACTGCAGGGGTGGGGGTGCTGACCTAACTGGTCCAGCATTGTGAGTCAGTCCATCCCCGCTCAGGGGTTTTGAACGCATCAGGGGATGCGGGCGTTCTTGGTACAGATCCCACCCAGCGGCTGTTCAGCAGGCCCCGTACTGAGCAGCACGCCCAGCCCCCACGCCAGAGCTCCTGGCAGCTGCTTCCAGCCCGTGGAGAGCCAGGGGACTTGAACCTGCGGGCTCCGTGTGCTTTGGACCAAGTCTGCCTGCCGGTGCTCTTACATTGCCTTTGCAGGCCATCTCCCCTGCAGACCCCCAGATGGCCCATGCCAGGGACCCCAGCCTCTGTCCTCACTAGGGAATGCCAGGAGCGGGCAGGCAGAGAGCCCGGGACCCAGCCCCTCCCCCACCCAGCCTGAAGCCCACGGTCAGAGCAGAGTCGTTTCAGCTTCATGGCCGAGTCCACAGACGCACCCGCCTCCTCCCGACTTTGCCTTGGGGGCTCTTCATGAATTGATAATTAGCTCCAGCTTCTCTCTTCAAGAACTTTCTGCCTCGGAAATTCCCAGGCTTGGGAGCCCCAGCTGCAGGCCAGGAGCACAGTCAACTCCGCTGACCCGGAGTTCGGCATTAGGATACCCGCAGGGCAGCCGCGCCCCGCCGAGTACCCCGTCCGTTCTGGGGGAAGAGCCCCGTCCCCCCTCGCAGAGCAGTGCAGCCTGCGTCCCCAAGACCCAACCGACTCTTCCCCACCTCCCAGACATGCAGCTTCTGTCTCCGTGAAGTCTGCGGAGGCTTTGATCCTGGCCCGGAGACAGCTCAGAGAGGCAGCGGGAAGTGGGGGAGGCGTGGGGGAGGCAAGCCCGGGGTGCGGCCTCCTGAGCACAGCTCGGACACCTGGCCTCTGTTGCCACAGCCCCGGTGTCCAGCCCTGCCTCTGCAGGCACACGGGGCGGGAGGCCCGGGAGGCTGTCCGCCAAGGGCCCCGTGTGCCTCACAGGCACCTTGCCGTCCTCGCAGCCGGCGTGAAGTTCCGAGTCCTGGAGCATGAGGCCGGCAGGCCCCTCCGCCTCCTGATGCAGGTGAGGCCCCTGTGCGCCTCTCGTACCGGGGCCCACGGACGGACCCTCTCCCGGCCCCGGTGATGTTGCCTGTGTTCTGGGACAGCTGGGATCCAGTCCCTCCGTGCTGTCCTGGGGGGAGGGCTACATGGGCGCGCCAGAGCTGACGGGTGGGGCCCCAAGGGGCACCCCCAAGACCTCTGGGCACCGTGACCCCTCCGGCCGGAACCTCCCTCAGCAGGACCTGGACAGGATCCTCTGTCCTGTGTCCAAAGCCTTCAGCCAGCCCGGGCTCTTGCCCTGAGCCCCACAGGCTCTCATTCCAGGAGGTAGAGCATAGGCTTGACCAAGGTCTCAGGACACACTCTTGCTCTGAGAAAGTCCTTCTGGGCTGTGGGAGTGCGAGGGCGGGTCCCTGGGTGACTCGCTGGGGGCTGCTGGGGTTGGCTGGGGGACCACATCTCTGGGAGAGAGGAGATGCCGAAGCAGCTGGGGCCCTGCGTGTTTTCCTCGGGGTGCGGCGTGCTCTCGGGCTCTGCCGTGTGTCCCCTGGGTGGCTTGTCCTGCAGCCTGCCAGGAGGAGAGCACGCCTGAGCTTGGCCCCAGCGCTCCCTCTCCAGCTGCTTAGCCTGCCCCTGGGGACCCACCGCAGACAGCCCAGGGACCCCCAGTGAGGGACCACTAGGACCAGCAAGTTGGAGCCTCAGGGATTTGGGGGGCGTAGCCCAGCTGACCACTGCCCTTGTGCTTCCAGATAAACCCCCTGCCCTACGGTCGTGTGGTGCACGCCTACCGCCTGCCCAGCTGCGGCTGCCACCCCACGCACTCCTGGGGCTCCCTGTGCCGCAAGCTGTTCTTCGGGGAGCTCATCTACCCCTGGAGGCAGAGAGGGGACAAGCAAGACTGAGAGGCCCCGGTGGCCGGCCTGCCCAGCACCACCATGCGGCCTCACTCCGCCCTCGTTCTCACCGGGGGTGCGGACCGTCAGGACGGCACACGTCCCTGGTCTTGGCCGTCTCTGCCCCACGTTGTTCGAGGCCTCTGTGTCTCCTCCTGGCTCTGAGGTGGTGGATAGGGGCAGCCGGCCAGGCCATCTGGCCTGTAATCCGTCACTAGGGTGTCTGCCTCCTGACCTCTTCTGATGGCACTGGCCACCCGGTACCCACCAGCCCCCCGAGGCCTGCCCGGCAGTCCCCCCACCCCCGATCACACCCAGAGCCCCCGCCTCCGCCCACCATGCCCACTCCCAGTGGGGCGAGCTGGCGGGTCTCCCTGGTGCTCCCAGCAGCCCCACCCTGCCATGGGGTGGAGGGACCCCTCCCCGGATGCACTCAGCAGTTCCTGAGGCTAACCCCCAAGCATCTCCTTGCTTGGGGCTGTACTTCTGTGTCCCTGGCCGGAGCCAGCAGCCTCAGTGACCCAGGGCCCCCTGGGAAGCTGACTGGGCAGCAGCGCACCCAGCCCGGAGCACACGGGGTTTGCCTGATGCCCCCTGGGGAGACTGCTTTGCAGCGGAAGCTGCCCCCAGGGCCTTCAGGCCTCCCTGTGTGAAGCCAGGCCACATGGGGTGCCCGGAACTGCGTCGCTGAAGACCGAGCACCCGTCCACCTTCCCGTCCACCTTGCTGCCCCGCGCCCATGCAGGAAGAGGCCCCAAATCCTCCGTCTCCCTCACTGGCTTCCCGCAGAAGCAGGCAGCTCCCGGGCAGACGTGTCTGTGGCCTCCCGCGTGCAGAGGGGGCGTCCTAGCGTTCAGGCTGCAGCTGCCTGCTGGCCAGCGTGGAGTCCAGCTGTGGGCGTGAGCCCCAGCATGCCCAGGGCAGGAGGCCTGCATGGCCAGATGGCGTCTTACGTGTTGAGTCCTCTTGGAGCGGGAAATGTTTGTGCTGTAGCGTGCGCTCTCTGGCTGCGGGCCGCAGTGGGGAGCCCATGGAGGCGGCCCGGCGTCTCATCTCGTGGGCCAGGTCCTAGCTCGGCCTTTCTCTGCAGTGACAATAAAGCCTCCCACCTATTTGGAGTGCGCCCTCTGCCTTCCCGCCGCCGTGTGGGCGGTGGGTCTAAGGAGGCCCCACACCTCCGTCCTAACCTTGGTGGGGGTGTGTTGAAGCTCCTTTTCCTGGGGTCATGGGACAGCCGGCCCCGTTGTTCGTCTAGAGGCGTCTGCGGTGCCTGTTTCTTGTTTGCTGCTGAGCCGGGAGGCACTGGACACCCCGTCCCCTGGAGCGGGCCTCCCTGCAAGTCTGACCCCTTGAATGTGTCCCGGCATGCGTGGATGGAGCCAGGGCCGCTTGCCGTCTGGTTTTGGCCTTGCCCTGGTCGGGGGACAGGGCCGAGGGCAGGGGCATAGGTTCCCCTATGCCAGCTGCCCTGGCTCCAGTGACTCTGTCCCCCGAAATCTGTGGGCTCCACGAAGGGCAGAGGCACTGCCTGCCTGACTTCCCCCTCGTGCAGCTGCAGGGACCCTCGGGTGGCCACCTGTGCACCTGACGTCCTGGCTTTGTAGGGAAGGGCTGGGTTCCAGAGAGGTCAGCCTCTGCTCAAGGGCCAGCAGCGGCCGGATGGGCAGCCGTGTAGGGTCCCTGTGGCTTCCAGTGCCTCTGGTGTGAGGCAGGGAGGGGAGGGGTCAGAGGGGATTCGAGGAGTGCAGGGACCCCCGCAGGGGACCAGAAGTCCCTGAGGAGAATGTGCCCAGGCCTGTCCCCAGGCCCCTGGAGCCTGCTGAGAGCGGCCTCCACTGCCTGTCTTTCTGGGGCTGCCTCCCCTGTTAGCAGATGTCACTCCTCCGCTTGGGGCTCTGCCCAGCCTACGAGGCAGTAGTGGCCGTGTCCCAGGCCTTGCGTGGCAGCTGTCACCCTCCATGCTGGTCCGCCATTCCGTCTCCTGAGGGCAACACCAGTCACTCTTGCCACAAGAGACATTATCGGCACCTCCCAGGCCACTCTCAGCTTCCCAGGAATAACCTTCCTTGGTGGGCCCTCTTGTCCCCAGCCCAGGTCTCTGACTGCCTCTGCTATGCTGGCCTGGGCAGGGCCCTGAGGCTGGACCTCAGGTCACCCCAAGAAGTAGACGTTGTTTCCTTTGCAGTTGGGGCTGCCACTTCTCACTCAGGTTCTCACGGCTGCTGGGAGAGCAGCCTCACAAATGTCACAGGAGACGAGCTCAGAGAGGGATGGGGACTAGTCGAAGGCCACACAGCAGGCAGGTCTGAGCCCCACCACGCACTCCCACCAGCCGCCCCGCCCCGTGTTTGAAAGGTTTCTACTTTGACACGTTTCAGACGCACGGGAGCTGCGCACGGCCCTGACCCACATTCCCCTTTGTTCTCATTTCGCCACATTTGCTTTTTTATATTTCTGCTCTATTTTTTTTCTAAACCGTTTGATCATTAGTTACCCCGAATTCTACCCCTCACATGCCCGCTGCATCCCGCAAGGCTGAAGGACAGACCGAGCAGCCACGGCACGGTGCAGGGAACTGGGTTAGGGTGCATGGGGACCCTTGCTGTGTGCCCCAGTGACCTCCACAGAGCCTCCCGCCAGGTGGCCCATCCTGGCCACAGCCTGGTGCCAGTATCCCAGCCTGCCTGCCTTGCACGACGTGGATGTGGAAGATACAGCCAGTCACTCGGTAGGCTGTGCCTCTGCGGAGCTCATCTGAGGACTCACCGGGAGATTCAGCACCTGTGCTCTTGCCATAAAGAGCACGTCAGTGCCACGATGTCCTTCCGAGGGCGTCACCCTGAGAGGCTTGAGGTGTCCTGCTGTCCATCCTGGTGACGTGCACCTGATCACCAGGTTCTCCCCTTTATTTTATTTTTTTAAGATTTTATTTATTTGTTTATTTGACAGATCACAAGTAGGCAGAGAGGCAGGCAGAGAGAGAGGGGGGAAGCAGGCACCCCACCGAGCAGAGAGCCGGGTGTGGGGCTCGATCCCACGAGCCTGGGACCATGACCTCAGCCGAAGGCAGACTCTTTTTTTTTTTTTTTTTTTTTAAGATTTTTTTTTTTTTTTTTATAGAGATCACAAGTAGGCAGAGAGGCAGGCAGAGAGAGAGGAGGAAGCAGGCTCCCTGCTGAGCAGAGAGCCTGATGTGGGGCTCGATTCCAGAACCCTGAGATCATGACCTGAGCTGAAGGCAGAGGCTTAACCCACTGAGCCACCAGGCGCCCCAGCCACTAACGCTTTCATGAGTAATTTATACAGAGGTATCTGGGACCATGTGCCTGTCTGCCCATCCCCACCCTCTGTGCACGGGCTGTGGCATCTACCACTGGTCCTTGCTGGGCGCGCACAGGTTTCTGGCTCCCTCCGCCCCTGGTTGATGGGACCGGGCCTTTCCCTGGCACCTGTCTTGAGCTTGGGCACAGAGGTAAAGGGGTAAAGCCTGGACCCTTCTTGGAGAGCAGGGCTTGGGGTCCAGCGTAGAGGGCAGTGGCTATCCTGGGGGGAGAGCAGAGACCACTTCAGACCACTTCCTTTGTTCCCCGCTCCCTGCCTGGACAGGAGCCAGGTCTGCAGGCCTAGCCCCCATCCTTTCCCAGAGCCAACAGGTGTGGCAGATTCTTGACTAGACACTCCCTCAGTCTCCTGGGCAGGGGGCACCCAGAATTACCCTTGACGACCTGCTACGTGGGCACCTCAGCAGGGCTGACCCAGGGCTTGCCGGCAGAGGGCTGCTCTGTGTTGCTTCATTGTTAGCCTGAGGTCCCTCAGAGGCGGGGAGGCTGTCCTGTCCCTTCCTCAGTCCCCAGGGCCGGGCCGGGCACTTACTGAGTCCCGGAATGGCTTTGCAGAAGCACACACATCAATGTGGGAGGCCATCTCCTCTGCCCACAAGGCCTCCTGGAGCCCAGGGAGGGGCACCCCTCGGGCCATCCCCCATCCCACGGACTGGGCCCTGCAGCCCCAGACCCTGTGGGTTCCTGCAGTACTTCTCCGGTCTGAGCAGGGAGGGGAGAGGTCAGGGGGGATTCGAGCAGTGCATGGACCCCACAGAGGACCAGAAGCCCCTGAGGAGAGTGCGCCCACGCCTGTCCCCAGGATCACACCCTTGCACAGGCCCCCAACCTACAAAGCAGGGCTGGTCGCACCCTCTTCACAGGCTGTGTTGGGAAAGGCTCAGTCAGAAAACACACGTGCTGAGCCCGACTCCTCTCTTTGTCCTGGATGATGGGAGAGCAGGCAGCGGGGCCTAAGGCTGTTGGAGTCCCTTCAGGGGAAGCCCTGAGAGGAGTGAAGAAGACGTGTCTCATTTAAGTTCTCTGGAAAGGGGATGATAACTTCTCACCCGTCACCCCCTGCAGGCAGCCTCAGAAACCAAGAAGGAAATTACCCACCTCACAGTGCTTCTGATCCCTGGACCAGGGTCCGGGTCCTTCAGAGCAGGGAGCAGGCAGTGCTGGGGCAGAGCCACAGTGATCTCCGTGGGAGAGGTCCAGCCCCATCACCGCAAGGGCCTTCCCTGACCTAACAGGTTGAGGTGCAGGGGTGGGCGGGTGGAAGCGAAGCACGGCCTGTCAGTACCCGGTCCCTGGCCCCTCTGGGGGTTTGGCCCCCTGCCTCCCAACAGGACCCTGACCGACGGCTGTTTCTGTAACATTGTGTGTTGTGGGTGGCTGTGCCCTCTCTATAAACGCTGGAGGTGGTGTCTGCTGTGACTCAGCATCTGGGGAATGATGATTCCCCAGGAGGACGCGGCCTGAGCAAAGGTACAAGCAGGAACACCAGGGCCTCTCTGTGGATGATGCGTGAGCCAAGTGGCCCTGCCCATCCCTGGCCAGCCTCTGCCCTCCCACGTCCCGGCTCCATGCTTCCCTGGAGGAGGACCAGGAGGACACGAGGAGAGCCCCTCTCTGAAGGCAGGTAAGCGAGGCCCAGGTGCTGCTCACCTAGCCGAGGAGCCAGCTCATCGGGAGGCTCCCCAGGCACCTGGCTGAAATGAACTGGCCCCGTGCATGTGGGCAGCTTCCCAGCAGAGGCTGTCTGCAGCTTGGGGGGTGGGGTCCCTCAGTGTGGTGCCTCTCGTGCTGGGGTCTGCTCTCTGAAAGCCACCTGCTGCTGGAGCCGTGGCCCAGGTTCGGTGACTCTTTGGGAAGAAAGTTCTTGCAACCTAACCTGTTCCTTACCTGCTGGGAAGACATGCCGGCTGGGCTGTCCTCAGTGCTGCACACTGGGTCTGGTGGTTGTGACATGCTGCCTCCACACAGGCCTGCTCTGTAGGGAGTCCTGCCTCTCTGTGGCTTCTTTGCCCACATAGCACTCGGCACCTGGCCTGGTAAGGGCTATGCTGGGCTCAGGTTGGACAGCTAATTCTTTTCACTTACTTGTTTTTAACAGCTTTATTTTTTTTAAAAAGATTTAATTAATTTTTTATTTATTTGACACAGAGAGAGAGCACAAGCAAGGGTGGCAGAGGGAGAGGGAGAAGCAGTCCCCGATGGGGCTCAACCCCAGGACCCTGGGATCATGACCTGAGCCAAAGGTAGTTGCTTAACCAACTAAGCCACCCAGGTGCCCCTATTAACAGCTTTATTGAGGCATATTTTACATATTATAAAATTCACCCATTTTGTGTACACAATTCAGTGATTTTTGTTTTATGGTGAAAAGAAAGTGTTTTTATCATATCTTGGGGACAGAACCGTGGGCAGAGAGAGCTGCCGAGTCGATCATTTTTAGTAACTTTCCCGAGCAGTATGACCGTCACCACTTCGCATCACCCCAGAAAGAAACCCCGTGTCAAATACGCAGTCACTGACCATGTCCGCCTTCCCCGGGGCCCTGCAACCACTAGTTTGCTTTATGGATTTGCCTGTTCTGGGGGCTTCACCCAAGTGGAACGTGGCGCGGACCAGCACGTCTTCCTTTTTGCGGGACCGCGCCCACTGTGCGTTCGCCCACCGGTCTTTGACCTCTCGCCGCGGTGAAGGGTGCTGCCGGGACGACTCGGGTCAGAGAGTGTGCGGGACGAGAGCCCCGTCTCCCCCGCAGCCGAGCGCCCGCGCCGGCCGGCATTCTCACCCCGAACGCCCCCAGTCGCTCGTTACCGGGCGTCCTACGTTCGCACGTCCTCGTCGGACAGACGCGAACGGGAGAAAGTCCGCCGGTGCGTGCGGAGAGCGCCCCTCCGGACCTCTCCGACGCGCCCCGCGTTGCTCGGGACCTGAACCCCCGCGAACACGAGCGGATCCCTGCGGGAGCGTGGACACCGAGACCCGGCCCGGGCCCAGCGCGCGGCGGCGTGCGCGGCGGCTTCCCGCGTCCGTGCGAGCGCGAGCCGGGCGGGTGCAGGCGCCCCGTCCTGGAGCTCGCACCCGGCGGACCAGGCTACGCGCGGGCTCCGGCAGGGCTGCTCCCCGCGGGCGGCCGGTGCTGCCAGCCGCACGGGGGAGTCGCAGTCCGGAGGGGGCGAGGGCGCCTTCGGCCGTGTGCGCGGCTCTTCACGCATCGCTGCCCGCCACGAACGACCGTCCATTCCTCCTGGGAACCACCGCGGAACCGCCGCTCACGGGACCCCCGCCCCGCCTGCCCTGACCAGGGGGACCACGGGCCGCTGCCACGAGCCCCTGGGGGCCGAGCCGTGCAGCCCTCCGCCCCGAGCGCCGCCGACACCGAGCACGGTGGGCCTTGGCGACCATGCGCCGCAAGCTATGGTCCCGGGCCGGGCGACTGCCCGCGCCCGCTGCCGCACTCGCTCGGACTCTCGCTCCCGGGACCGCTCAGAGCGTCACGCCGGCGGCCCCGCCCCCGCCGGGAGCGGAAGTCCCGCCCCGGGCCTCTCCGAGCGCGGATTGGCCGGCCCCAGCCCGCCACGCCCGGTCCCCGCCCCACCGCGGGGAGGGCGGCTCCCGAGAACGCAGTTCCAGGTGCCTCGCCACCCTCGCGGGGGTCTCTGCGGGAGCAGCGGCCGCAGCTTGCTAGGGGCCTTCGTCCTCCGGGACCCATCCGCGTCACCTCCCTGGCGGGACAGTGAGGCCGGGCACCGCCACCACCCGCTCCCGCCCGCGGGAAGGGGGCGTATGCAAACAACCCGAAGTCCCAAGCTCTTGATTGGTGAGCGTGTGGGGAGAGGGGCGGGAAACACGGGGAGAGGGGCGGGCTTAGAGGGGCCATGATCGACGTGCCGGCGGACCAGTGGCTCCGGGAGGATCGGCAGCGGTGGCCAATGGCGACGGGGAGCGGGCGGGCAAGGGCCGAGCTGTTGCGGGGGTCAGAGGGCAGGGTTGCTGGTGACTCCGGGTGCCATGCGGGGAGCGCCGGGGATGGCAGAGGTGCTGGCGGACGTGCCGGCGGACCAGCGGCTCCGGGAAGCCCGGAGGCGAGTGGCCATTGGCTACGGCGACTAGGCGAGGCGGCCAAAATCTCCCCCCAACCAAAGCTGAGTGGGGCGTGGTGGGGGCCGGCAGTCGTGACGGACGGGCATACGGACCAATGGCCACGGGAAAGCGGCGGCGGGCGACCAATGGCGACGGCATGGAGGCGGGGCGACCAGGGGCTTAACGGTGGAGTGTGGGA